TTTCAAGAAATAGAGTTCAAAATCTCGATCCAACTGCGAACCTAAATACCGATCTCTTAGTTTCTCTCCAATGAAAGCTATTTGGATTTTGAGACAAATGAACAAAATAGTATGTTCTTCTAGAACTCCTAATCCAATTGGCATGGACAATCAAAATGCCATAAAATTTGCAAACAATCAAGTGTTCCACAATAGAAAGAAACATTTTGAAGTTGATTGTCACTTCTGTCGTCAAAAGGCTGAAGAGTAAGATATTCTTGTTGAGTATATCTCTACTACAAAGCAATCAGATGACATTAGGAAGAAGCAAGTTCGAGACGGGGAGAGATTGATTAAACTTCAGAATTCCATTAGAGGTATCAGATTCCACATTTCCTTCATAGTTTTTCATGTACAAACTTAACATTTGAGTAAGAAAGAGTGTTGGAAGATTTACTCTCTACTTCGGATGCTTCTTAATGCCGGTTCAACACTATAGCGAGTAATTATAGGAAGCTTCTTAGTATGGTTCGTATTAGTTTAGGGTTTAGTGAATTTTGCTACATATGACTTGTCTCCTAGCAACCATCTTGAACGGTTTTACTTCCTCACGGAGAATTCTGTGAATACTCACCTTGTTCAACATATATTTTATATCATTAAATTTCTTTGGTAAATTGTATAAGATATATCTTTGTTATCATAATTCTCTTCAAAAAACTCAATATTTTGAACTATATTAGTTAAAAAAATCACAAAATTTGATCTTCACACAATATTTCTTTAACATGACCTTTCTTGGTTCATTTTCAACAAATTTTTTTGGTAGTGATTTAATCATCTCTATGAATCATTCAAAACCATTAAAATTATCTTGATCAACTGCGTGAGTATATATATATATATATATGAATTTGATTTAAAAAAAACTATTCATTAAGTCCTCGAATGTATTTGTACATTGGATATTTGTTAACCTCACAAGGAGTTGCAAATTCTAAAAATAGATTTCATGATCAAATCACAATGGTACTTCTTGTATTGGACTTCAATAACATATTATCAATGATAAATACACCCCATCAAACTTGATCGGCTGGAGGGATCACAAGTTGATTACCTTTGATCGTTCCACTGCCATCGTGCTTAAAGAAGGCGTATTCGATTCGATCTTTCTTCCGTGCACCTGTACACACTTTTATCTATCACTGCATCGAGGCGAGCATCTAGATTGTTCTTTCCAACGAGGAAATTGGAGTGCACACAGAAGTTCTCGGACCCGATGTTGGGCAATATCTGCATGCTGTACAAATCTGGTAGACAATGTGTCCAATACAGGCCAAAGCTTCTGAAAGATTGCACCGTCTGATTCACCTCGCAGTCGCATCTGTAGTTTTTCATACGACGAATGCACTCGATGTCCATCATCTGGGCGTGTGCGTGAACAGTCGGTCGGTCGACAGCGTGAGCTGCGGGAGCGAGGTAAGATTCGGACATCTACAACGTGCAGGATTCTCCTGTACAATATGTTCTGAGGGTTGCGAATGAACATTTGACAAGGTTTGCAAGAGTGTGCTCAGATGCGACCTGATATTTGCGGATCATTTCGTGAGAGTGAGTTATCGCAATCCCTCAAAGCGACACGACTGACGGAGAAGCATTGAGTAGAGTGTGTAGAATGTTTAAAAAATTCCTTTGCCACCTCGCTCCGAGTTTCTACTTCTTGTTTCAACCAACGATGCTCCCCTTGCCCGAGGAAGTTCGCACTGTGCAACGTTTGGAATGCAAGTGCTTTCCCTTCATGACATTTTCTTTGATGACTTAATTATCCCGACATTTCAACGCCAGCATCTTTCTGCACCTCTTTGTTGAACTCTGTCTGATTGAATCTCTTTCCAGTCTTTCGCACCTTGCCCAAGAAATGGTCATCAGATCACACCACTTAAGAAAAGGATAGATTAGTTCGACTTTTTATACACTTCGAACCAAGACACCGAGAGGAAAAGAAAAGAGAGGACAAGTACAAGCTTATTTAGATTTTCACGACGACGAACGTATAACCCCAATCACTTATTGCAGTTCTCCATTCACATACTTCCATACATATTGTGGTCTTCGATGTCAACTGTAAAGATGCATACACGGCGGGAAAGACAGTGTTCATAGGTCACCTCATCACGAACGGTGAATTTTATCGAGAGACGTCATTGCTTTCAACCTGCCGTAGATTGGAGGCAGCATCAGCACGTCTCAAGCCGATGGACTCGTCTTTGGCAGCTTTGTCGAGGCTTTGTGTCTTAAGGTCTTTTGACGTGGTTGATGATGACAATCCTCACGGCTGTTACACTTCAGTGGGCAGCAAAAGGCTGCTGCGCTAATGCTTCGGCATTTGCAGCTATCTTTCACCTCCTAGTCACTGCTAGTCTTCGAGATATGATGTGCAACTTATACTCTGCCACTCGGGGCACTGCTGGACTTCAATTCTGAACAAATTTAATCTCAGCATTAGGGACTTAGTTCACCTCACGACCGGCTAACATCGAGGTCTGGAAGGTGGAGACAGTACAGCTTTAGCTGCTATAACATCGACAAATCCACGCGCTTTGATATTGACTAAAACGAGAAGGACCTTCGCTACAAGCCCAGACATTCTGCAGGCCTCTTATTAAAAAACACGTTTTTTCACGATATAAATGGCTTTCGCAATAAAACACGTTTCATTGCGAGAGCCATTTATATCGTGACTTCTGGACTATGTGGATTCCATTCAGGTATACCTCACATACGTGAGATTCCATTGACAGTGGAGTAAACGCCTTCATACCTTTAAAAATATAAATGTGAAGAAACTATTTATTGTTCCTCGTTATATTTGCGACGACGGACGATCTCTTTAATTTGATTTTAAAAAAGTATAGATTATTCTTTAACATATAATTTTCATGTATCAAGGTAAGATCCAAATGGGCCAGAAAAAACCTTCAAACGAAGTACAGCAGCCGTCACATCCGAGGAAGAATATTTTATGCATTAATTATGAATAGATTTATATCATAAGACCCTCGATCTTTTTACAGACTCTTTTCCGGATAATTGCCATTGTGGAGGGGATTGCAAACCAATCAGTCGGGACTCATTTTCCCCGTTGTCGTGGCCACAATAATGGAACGAAGCAGAGGAGAATCGGTCAATCCGTATGATAATCTGTTTGACGCCGAAGTTGGACCGTAAGCACAAGGGCAACGACATACTCAGAGTAACATGGCACGTATAGCAGAATATTTGCATGGCCCGCTTCGGGTTCTTCTCGGATCCAGCTCTGGGCATGATTCTCTTTCACCATGACCGAGAAGACGAAAGATTTACCGCAACGGGTTGCTCGAGCCAAACTGTTCTGCTGCTCATGCACACAAAGAAAGAGAAATCATTGTAGTGCACGTGTCGCGTGCAGTTCTCTTCACGGTACGTCGCTTGCTCCCTCCTCGTTCGATGTCGACCGCGCGGGCAAAGAGCAAAAAGGATGGGCAGACAAAACGGGAGCACAAATGGAATGCGTAAAGGGATCCGATTCCGGCGCAGTAAATCCACGTGCCATGGCCGAGAAGCCTCGATGATTCAGAGTCACTGTGCCACTCTCCAATTACAGCACCTTGGCACTGGACATTCGGTATCAGCAGAGAGCTATTCGTACTCTATCCGTCTCCTAACTGCCCCTCCCTATTTGTAGAAGACCTCCATAAAAGCAATCGACCTGGACCTTGCATTCACCGGAATCAGTTGGTCGCTGTGTATTCTTTTCCAAGCCTTGGGAAATGCAATACCAACAAAAACTGCGTATTTCGAATTTCGGAGTGTTAGAAAGGGTTCAGATTTATTGACATCTCTCCTAGCGAAAGTGCGAAACCACTGGCAGTGTGTATACGGAGGGATTAAAAGGGTCAACCACGTGTACAGTATCCGAATTGAATTGTTGATAATTCTGCCTGTATTGACTTTTGGGGTGGCACTTGAAGAATGTGCAGGCAGTGGGGAGTATCAATTAGAGAGGGGTGGCAATCCTCGACTGTGTGCGTTCAGCTCCTACGGCACCGCGGATCCTAAACGAAAGCTTGCCTGCGCATCTGTCGCTTTCTGTCGGAATCCCTCGGGCGACGTCGACGTCAGGGAAATTCATGCTGGACCTCCGGACGCATTGCGCCTTTGCGGTCACGGAGCTCCGAGAGCTCCTAGAGCTTCGGAACCGGTGGGAGAGTGCTGCTCCGACGAAGAAGACGACCGGCCGGTGCCCGCCCGGGTCCGGTGGCGGCTTCCGGGGAGACCCGGGAGTCTTGCGAGTCGCGAAAGGAGAGCGCGACGGGACGGCAAAGGTTCTGAAGTTAAGCTCGGCCCGGCCGGACTTGGGCCGTTTCGCCCCCAGGACTCTCTGTCTCGACGATCGGCCCCCCGACGGCGACGGCGACGCGGGGCCCGCCACTCATACCCGAGGACACGCGGCCTCAGGCGGCTTGCGGACCGGCAGACCGAGCCGCGCCGAAGCGGTCGAAGATGCGGAAGATGCCGTGCCTGATGATTGTGGGGCCCGCTCAAAAGATCGGAAGTCCTCGGCGCTAGCGACAACAGACGGGCTACGTGGTAGACGGCGCCACCTTCTCACGAATCCGAACGAAGTCGACTGGGACCAGGTGCGACCTTTGTTCGGACGAGCTCGGAGGCTCCAACCCCCGTCGCGGGCACGGGTGGGAGCCGGTCAACCTCGGCCGCCGGCGCTGGTTTTGCCCCCGACGACGCTCCGACGGACGAGAGCTCGTACCGGGACCTGCGACCTGTGACCGGTTCGCAGGTCAAGGGGGACTTGACGCCAGCGTAGTGCGGACAGTGTCGTGGAGACATGTGGGTCAGAGAGACAGGGTGTCCGGGGGACCCCCGGGGCCAATAGTATACGAATAAAAACGATTCGATTACTTTTGCTGTTTATAAAAGTCGGGGCCTGGAATCTGGAGGGCAGTAGAAATTCGAAAGAGGCGGTGGTCAGAAGAAGGGAAGGAAGGCAAGGCAAGGGCACGGGCAGGGCAGTGAAGCCAGGGGTAGTAGTAGTGTCGATCGTTCGTCGCCCACTGGGTGACTTGCGACTTGGGACTTGCTCCTTGCTCCTTGCTCGACGAGAAGGATTGCAGGACGGACAGGGAGGCGCAAGAGGAAGGAAGGAAGCAGCAGAAACAGAAACAGAAGCAACAGCAGCAGGATGATGACTTGATCGATCTCCTCTCGCCCGCCCTCCCGCTCGCCCGCCCGCCCGCTTGCCCTTCGCTTCGACCACCGATTGATGGCGCACTGCAGCTGCTCGCTCGCCCTCTGCATGAGTTTGTGAAGCGCTGCTGCTGCTCCGGACACCAGCTTCCTCCGCCGACCGCCTGCTTCGATCCTGCCAGCGAATTTCTCAAGGTACTCTCTCTCTCTCTCTCTCTCTCTCTCTCTCTCTCTCTCTCTCTCTCTCTCTCTCTCTCTCTCTCTCTCTCTCTCTCTCTCTCTCTCTCTCTCGCGGACGGATGAATTAGCACGCGCAGCGAGACCTAGGGAGTGGTCCATACCTTGACCAGAAGGAGCAGGTTGCCGAAATTCATCGTCTCGCTCTGCACTCCGGTGCCGACATTGAACTGCACTCTGAAAGGAACACGGAGACGCGAGCGACTGGGCAGCTCTGGGACCTTGCATGCAGTCGGGGACGGGAGTGCGGATGAGATTTTATTCTCTGCTCTGCTGCTGACATCAGTCAGGAGCTCGGAAGTACAGGGCCTCCGCGATCTGTGTCGATAAGGTTATTACGAAGGCCGGCGGTGACGACTGACAGAAGCTCTCGCATGCTCTGCTCGTTGCTCTTGTGATCGACCTCTCTCGTGCCTGTCTACGGCTTTTGCCCTCGTGCGGGGTCGGGTCCCGTCCCATCCCATCCCATCCCGCCGTGCCTTGGCCTTCTCCTCCTCGGGGGCCGAAGAAGGCTTCATTGGGAGCCGCGATGGGGACATTCCGCATCGTGTGCGCAATTTCGGGCTCGAGGCATTGGGAGACAAATTCTCTCAAATTGAGTTTGCATTCGCCATTTGGGGCCAGTGCTGGCAGACGAGTGACTGAGTGCATGTGTCATGCGCACCAAATGCACCATTTGGGACCTCGTGCTCTGCCCGTCGAATTCTGTCACTGCCAGTAGCTGGGACTCGGCCCATCAGAGTTCCACGTGGCCGTACGATTGGGTGGGAAGGTAGGTCACGTGGTCAACCACGCTGACGAGGTCAACGAAAGAGAGACAGACAGACAGACAGACTCTGTGCGCCCAACGCGCTCAAGGATCCCGGGTAGATGTCCCCGATTTGAATTTCCAGGTGCGCAATTCGATCTTCTTCTTCGTCGCCGAAGAAGAATCGTCCTGTCGAGAAAATTCATTCGAGCAAAGCTCCGAGCAAAGTCGTCGGCTTGGGAGTCCGAGTGCCAAGCAGGACAGGGCACCATCGACTTCCTGAATGAATGCTTGGATGGATTGATAGATGGATTGATGGGTGGGTAAATTCCAGCGAATTTGGAAGAGGGTCTTCAGTCGAGTGTCGACCCGAATAGCGATAGGTACATACATTTGCAATCCGCAAATCATGTCACGCACTCGAGTTGTTTGAACGGGAAGATCTGACGAGAAGTTAGTTCCAGAGTCCCAGGCTTTGCAAGGAACGATCGATTGCCTACCTACCTCTCTGTAAGAATGCGGAGGGGAGCATCGCATTGCACGGCTCAGAGGCCCATTGCCTCGAGCAACATGCGGACGCTATGGACCTGACAGCGTCCGCCGACATGCCTGTTTCGGCCTGAGGTCTGACTCCGAGAGGAACCGATGGTGGGGTGGTGCAGATGATGGCTGGCGGGGAGGGGCAGAAGGGCAAGGGCGGGGGCGAATCCGTCGAGCTCACGGCCGGAGAGCAGCAGGTGTCGAATGCGCTGACGAGGGGCAAGGACCGGGCCATGGAGTGGCTGGGGGGCCAAATCTCGGTGTTCGGCATCGCCATCGGCTACTGCCTGTCGGCGTCGCTGCTGTCGATCATCAACAAGTGGGCGATCATGGTGTTCCCGTTCCCGGGGTCGCTGACGGCGCTGCAGTACGCGACGAGCGCGGGCGGAGTGTGGCTGTTCGGCATGGTGCGCCTGCTGGAGCACGACCGCCTGAGCCTCAAGACCATGTGGAAGTTCCTGCCGGCCGCCATCTGCTACTACCTCTCGCTCTTCACCAACAGCGAGCTGCTGCTGCACGCGAACGTCGACACCTTCATCGTCTTCCGCTCGGCCGTGCCGCTCTTCGTCGCCATCGGCGAGACTGTCTACCTCAAGCAGCCGTGGCCCTCGCTCAAGACCTGGGCCTCGCTCGGCGTCATTCTCGCCGGCTCCGTCATCTATGTCGGCACCGACTCGCAATTCAAGGTCGAGACTTACGGCTGGGCGCTGGCGTACCTCGCCAGCATGTCGATCGATTTCGTCTACATCAAGCACATCGTCATGACCATCGGGCTCAACACCTGGGGCCTCGTGCTCTACAACAACCTCGAGGCGCTGCTGCTGTTCCCGCTCGAGCTTCTGATTATGGGCGAGGGCATGCAGCTCAAGCACTCGAGCGACGACCACTCGGTCGACTACACCTCCATGACCGTGTGGTTCCCCGTGGCGCTGTCCTGCCTCTTCGGCCTCTCCATCTCCTTCTTCGGCTTCTCGTGCCGCAAGACCATCTCCGCCACCAGCTTCACCGTGCTCGGCGTCGTCAACAAGCTGCTCACGGTGGTCATCAACCTCGTCATCTGGGAGCAGCACGCCTCCACCATCGGGACCATGGGCCTGCTCATCTGCATCGGAGGCGGCGTCCTCTACCAGCAGTCCACCGTCAAGCCCAAAGCTCCCCCCGCTGCGCTCGCTGCTCCCAAGACATTGGACGCGGACGAGGAATCTGTTCCTCTAGTGCAGTCGCAGGATGTGGAATCTGGAGGCAAGAAGGCGTCCCACGCTTAGAAGCGCTCGGACGCCCCTTCGCCCCCTCCTCCTCCTCCTCTCGCCAATTTCTGTAATATATAAAGAGCATTTACGATCTGAGAACGAGCCTCTGTCTATCTGTCTGTCTGTCTGTCACCCATGATTGGTCTGCTCTGCTCTGCTCTCGTCTCGTGCGTGTCGTGGTCGATCTGGATGATGTCACTCCGGTACGGTTGCCAGTGAGCGATTCCAGGCGAGAAGCTTGGAGCTCTCTCCATGGCAGACAGAGGTCTTTCGGGATCGAGCCCATGCAAAGTCCCCATGCGAGGGAGGAAATGTGGGCATTCCTCCTGGGACCGAGTGCCGATGCTTTGCTTGCTCGCCACTTTAATAGCTCGTGAAGAGGAACAGACATTCCTTCCGTGGGGTCGAACCATTAATCAACTCAATGCGCTGAGCTCCCTCTCTTTCTCTCTCACTGTGGAAGAGCCCAACATGCCGCCACGGCTCGAACGCATTCGCACCCGGACCCTTTCATCTGCCGAGTTCGAAATCTTCGCCCTCGCTCTGTTACAATGTCTGTCGGCCCAGTGAGGGGACTGTCGATCGATTTCGTCTCGTCTGCCGAGTGAGTTTCTTCGACTCGCTGTCTCACAGATTCTTCCTGCTCTATGCGCTGACGACGAGACGAGAGCACAGGGCTGACTCGAGGACGCGAGTAGATTCCACAGTCAGTCGGTCGGTCGGAAACCTTGACCCGCTTCCTCGTCCTCCGGACATTTGTCCATGTCTGTGCCTGCGAGTCGTCGGCTTTCGGATCAAATTCTCGTCTGGCTTGGTGCTTGGCGTTTCTTATTGTTGGAACTTGTCTGCTCTGTGGAATGCGCCGGACTTGTCGTTGCATCCCACAGTCGAGTCGTCGTCCGTTGACCTTCGTGCTCGTGGAGGGCGCGTGTCTGTGTTTCAACTATAATTCCTCTGAGCACTTGATTGATTGATCGATCCTTCGCTGGACATCTTGCGCAATCGAGAGGAGCATTCGGCGAAGTCCTCGATGTCTGCCAACTGTTGAGGTGACTGCGCTTTCTGAGACATGCCCCAGAAAGCAGTTCGTATTGGCCTCGAGCTCATCCTGTGTCATAGAGTCCAAAGAGCAGGAGGGTGAGGACCGCAGAAGTCCTTCGTTTGGCTGATTGCTGGCTGCGCGTGGTTCTAAGCTGATGCAATTAGTCTCTTTCTTTTGGCACAACGTCGTTTCTCCATTGTCCCGACAGTTCATTAGAACTATCTCGAATCTCGGGTGGAGGGTGAAGGGGTTCATGCCTGCGTACAAGCTTTTGCAGTCTCCGTTGTGAATTGCGTGGAGAACGTCCATGCAGCTTTGAGAATTGCCAGATTAATAGATTTCGAGAACTTCGTGAAGGGGTTGTGAAGGTTTAGCAGTCCAATTCTCGAGCTTTGATTTGCAGTCACGAGTGGCTGAGCGGAGTCAAAATTATGGTCTACATGTTGCACGCGTATCTTCAGCCCAGCTTCGGGGTTTGTCTCGACCGATGTCTTCGAGCAATCTGTGGAAGTCTGCCAGAATGGTACGAGGGCATGGACTTGGTCACAGCTGTCGCAGGGCTGTTCCATCATCTGCCTCATGAAGGCCCGCCCTTAGACAGATCCACCTCCGTCATCAATGTCCTGAGCGCAGACGAGCTCTTCCAGACAGAGATCATGGTCGATGGTGTTCGAGTGATCCGCCAGAGCTTCAAGAGACGGAGGAGTGGGGAGGAATCTGAAGAGTGGACTCTGAGGGAGGTCGATCCGGACAGGCTTGTGCTCCTGGGGGCGCCAGGTGGCCTCGATCTGGCGCACCATCTCCGGACGTGGTCTGCTCCGATCTAAGAAAAGGATCTCCCTTTTCTCTGAAGAAGTCCGTCTTTCGTGCACGAGGAGGAAAACTCTCGAGACACCGGTGCCTTCCAGTTGCGGTCTGCTCGGAGCTTTGGACTCAAGGGTGCACGATGAGCAGGTTCGGACGGAAATTGTCCACGAGTTGAGAAACTGTCACGCGTTCTGGGGACTGCTATGGAGACTTTTTCGTTCACGATGGAACGCAGATGATCCTTTGAGAATGCAGGTAGGGTGTATTTGACAGAGTCACAAACTCATGCCGTCGATCCATCGGTCAGTGGTTGCTGCTAGACGAGGAATTATGCGCTTCTTTCCCCAATAAAAGTGGGAAAGTCTGATTTTTCATACATTACGCACACAATGGCGTTGGACTCGTAAGATGCTGCCGTAGAACATTCTGAGCACATGCGCGAATGAAACATACATCGTGGGTATTTCTAATTCCTCTCGTGGATATACATTTCCTCTGACCATTGCTGCCATCGTGGCGAACTACGGGTATTGGCATATTCATGAGGTACAGTGCTAGTGCGGAGAAATCTTTGCGGCGAAGCTACCACTACGAAGCTCCTTGCTACAGAGTGACTCACGACGGTGAAGTTGTTTGGGGCTAAGAGTCTTTCAGTTGTGCACCAGTGAACGTTTGAGTAACCGTGAATTTACCACTAAATAGAATTCTAGTACTTAGACTCGAGACAAAAGCTTATTTGATAAGCACTGTCAGTTATGGTAAGATGCACGGCACAATGTGAACACAGAAGGGCTTTATCCGCCGGGAACTCCTGTCCAACATGAACCCTTCATTTCTCTTAAGTGTACAAAAATTAGGTTTGTCTTCACTAGGCATTTAATAGAGGTTCTGAACCTCGTACATAATTTATGTATCGTAGCATCGTAGCCACAGTTGTGCATCACTTAACATAAGTGATGCACAACTGTGGCTACGATGCTACGTCTTCATGCTTGTGATAGCCAATTATCTCCAAAGCCTGCAGGCGTTCACATATATTTAAGCACCATGTGAGTACTAGATCTGCGATGTACTGGAAGACACGATGATTTCTAAACACGCGCACAAAGGCCTGTGACCATCAACGCTTTCCGATTGTTGATTTGAAAAATGGACTCGTATATTGCATATATATTTCAATGCTGGTGCTGCCAAAAACCCCAGCGCGTGATCACTTACGCGTATCAGAGGTCAATTCTTCAAGGCGTTAGCCTTTGTGGATCACGAGGGAACATTGAGGTCTTGCGAATGTTGCCAAGAGCACAAAACAGCATGACTACTCGCTCCAATCCTACATCTAGCCCGCCGTGTGGAACAACACCGTATCTGCAGCAGACCAGCATTACATTAAAACACAGCTGGTTGACGAAGATCAGTGGAAGAAGGTACTGAAAACTTTCACTAACATCGTTACCTGAATGAATCGATGTACGTTAACAGTGACTTGACGTCGATGCCACATTCTATGGCTCGTTTAGTTAGAAGGTCCACATCATGTACACGCTGTGCTCCCGAAATGATTTCTTCCCCTGCAAGAGTAATACGCACCGACTGGAACGTATATGAACTTGTGCTAGAGGAAATCACTGAATATGTTATCCCATTATATTTTATCATATATTTCTTAGGCTGAATTTGTTGATAATTTAATGTGTTTGATAATATTTTTTCTCTATGTGCAATCAATTTTTGATATCACAAACAAATGGCTTATTATAATTGTAATCATTAAAAAAAAATTTGGTTATACGGTTTATATTCTTGTGCTTGAGTAAAATATGACCAAATTGTATAATACATTCAAAAAGTTTTGCTTTTGTGAATATGTTAGTGGTGCAAAGGATTATAATTTATGATATTCAGCGCGTAAAATAACTGTAAGTGAAAATTTAATTATTTTTATAAACCTAGATCATTGAAAAAAAGAAAAAAATTTAGATTCCTGTGCTGACAAGAATAAATATTTAATCATAGAAGTTACTCAATAAATGATTGATTATTATGGATTTGATGATGTGATATAAAAAGAAGCTCTCGTACATATAAAGCAATTTTTTTGAATAGCAAAAATTGAAGAAGCATATTATCGTTGGTGAGCATTAAATAATTGATTTGAAGTATAAAAATCAACTAAAATTTTCAATTAGGAGATCATCAAATTGGATAATAGAACTATATTGAATTAACCATATGGATTATTTTAGCCATTTTTGAATATCAGCATATTGAGAGTAAGGATATTGATGACATTACGTTGATCTTAGAAAAATGAGAAATTTTATCTTACAAGCAATCTTAAATCTCTGTCAATAAACTTGAAAAAAACATTGTTAATGAGTGTAAGATGCAATTCTTGATGTATAACAAAATGTGAGAGCTAATGAAACTTCTAAGTAATCAAACTTTGATAGATAACATGTAAATGTAAAAACTGAAAAATGATCCAAAAAATGAAGAGAAATTATCTTCAAAGATAGATTAGTGACTAGAGGTTTTGCATAAGAGAACGATGTGGATTACAACAAAGGTTTTTTATTTGTAGCAAAATATATTACAATTTTAAATATCTGCAATATTAAATTAAATTATACATTAAATTGATGTAATTAAGATATATTTCTATGAATTATTAAAGTAAAAAATCTACATGAAACAATCCATTGGTTTTGAGAACAAAAGTCAAAATAAGTTAATTTGTAGATTTTTGAAATCATTATAGGGATTTGAACAAAGTCCTAAACAATGAAGAACGAATTTTGATGAGTTCATGAAAACAAAAGGATTTTTATAAAATGAGCATGTTACATGTGTATTTTGAAGAAAAACAAATTTCAATTTTATTATAAAAAATTCTTTTGAATAAGATTTTCATTTTGACAAAAAATAAAATTGATGTCAATAGATGCAAGAATCAATTAAAATCTGCATTTAAAATTTTCATTTTATGATAACATCAAAGCAAGTACATTTCATTTATGTTTGATATGTTTAACATGGCATAATCTATAGGATTTAAAATAATATGACAATACTATTAAAATATTTTGCAGCCCAATGTCAAATCAATTTACTATGACAAAGTTGTTGATAATTTTGATAGTGATATGTACAAGACTAAAAATTGCTTCAGCTATCGGCATTTTAAGCAAATAAATGTCAAATCTTGAGAAGTTGCATTGAGAGGTAATACATTGAAATTTTATGTAGCTAGAGAATATTATGTATTATATTATGTTTTTGATGATTTATTGAATAATGTTTAAATTTTTGTCATGCTACGTTGAAACTATGTACAAGATTTGAAACAAAAGATTCTATAACTCAGTTGTTGTTTACACTTAAGTATAAATGAATTAGATAAAAATTTATTTCAAAATATGTAGCACAATCCATAATTTAAGCTGAATATGTAATAGTAGCATATTCAACAAAGGAAGAAATTTGATTGAATATGATTATCACTAAGATGAAATTGAAACATGTTGTTTGTTATTATTGGAGAGATTTGCTTGATGGGACCCCTGCGGAAAGTAATTTGCTTGATGGGATCCCTCAGGTTTAGTTTTACCCTATGGGACCCCAACGACGGTGTGCCGTCGGACATAGTTCTTGTAACTACGATTACTACTAGTTACAATGAGGGAATTACAATCAGAGATCAATCCCTGATTATAATTTCTGGTGGATTATCACGGGGACAAAGATAGATTTTGCTCGAAGTGCAATTTGTTGTGCTTCAATTCTTCCCACCGCAAAGATTCGCTGATTTCTCTGTTGCCTCCCACCTGCACACTCCTTCCGTAATCCTGCTCAAGTCTCACGATCACCCATTTGTGACGAACAAATAAACTCCGGATGAACATTTCTTTGCTCGTCTCCGTGAGGAGTGGCCGGATACAGAATGACAACATAAAAACAAGTGAGTGTGATGGAGTCCGAAGTCCACTATGTCTGCGGTTGCGGTGGACTCGTTGCACTCTCTCTAGTTGTTATTAGAACATGGATGACGGTGCATCGTTCATGGGGTCCCATCGGGTAAAATGAAACCTCAAGGGTCCCATCAAGCAAATTACTTTCCGCAGGGGTCCCATCAAGCAAATCTTTCGTTATTATTGTGATAATCAAATTGCGTTACATTTTGTTGCAATTCAAGTGATGAAAAACGCAGTGACAAATATTCACATTAGATTTCACTTTATTAGAGATGAAAATTTTTATTTAAAAAATTAAACTAGTCAAAATAAATGATAAATGTTTATCCGGCTCATGCATTGATCAAATTTAATTTTCATGAGAATTTTAGAAGACATTTTGCTACTTTGAAGATTTTGCATGAAAAGCTCAAATAGAATTAATAAGCTATTTTGTTACCTCTATATTTATTTACTTATGTCTGTATTTCTTTGTTTATTTATTCCATTATTTTTCAATTACGGCTCAATTCTATTCTGCTTTAATTTGAAAATGCTCTAACGTTGGATTTATTTCTAAAACTTTTCTTAGATTAAGTATGTAAGTTGTGAAGGATTCTATTTTCACCATATGAATTAGAATTTAAGACTAAATTGTTAATATATAACTCATGTACATACTCACATAGGTTAGTATAATTCTAGTTGGGATTTAGATTATGTTGTCATTATAAAGTGAATCTTGCAAAAATTCTTCATAATACTTTTAGATTTTCAATGATAAACATTTCTGTGTCTCTTGTGAATCGTGCACTTCAAAGTCAATGTTTGGATCTATGTGCTTATGTTCTTGGTATTTTTTTCTGAAAATTCATTACACATAGAAATTGCAATGATGTAATACACATTTACTATTTTTTACTATTATGACTCACAAATGAATCTAAAATGCTTTGAATATTTTGTGCTCTTTAATACATGAAGAATGAAAATGATTTTTTTTACTTGTTTTTATCATTTCAATATTGTTTCAAAAATATAACAAGATAAATTTTTCAAACAAAAATATTTAAACTCAAATCTAATTGATCATAAAAATTTTGAGTGCTATGTGATGCTTCGATTTTGTTCAAATTTACACTATTCCAGAATATAATCCACATTTACTTTTTTATTGAAATTTTTGAAAAATATATATATCAATGAATTTTCATTCAAAATAAATTTTAAATGATATATGTTTTTAAATATGTATATTTGTGAAAATTTACAATAATAGAAGTAATCATTAAGGAGTTGCATATATGATCTATAAAGTTACTTATGATGCCAAAAAAAATTGTGACACAAGATTAAATTATGAATAACATAAATATTTTGTTCAAACACATTGCAAGAATAAAAAAAATGCAAAATTTGATCAAGAGTGAAAAACCTGATTGTTGGAAGTCAAAAGCTTTATGTGTTGAACTTTGAATGATCGAAAAAAACCTAGTGGAGATGAATTTTACTGAAACAAATTCATTACAAAAGGAGATGTATGAGCTTTCTTGCCATCATTTGCTTTGACATGGTAAGAGAAAAATAATTGAGAATGTGTGACAATTCAACTATATTTTTACTACATGCATACAAATTATAATGAACAAAGCATTGATAAATCTAGCAAATGATTAAGGTTATATGTGTTCCTATATTTACTATAAAATATCAATTGAAATTTCATAAGTGATTATAATCTTAATCTTTAAATAATTTTAATATTTATATAAAAACATGATGATTTACTTAAGACAAAGTAGCTAATGTTTCCATAGAAAAATAATCACTATCGTGATATTTCTTAGCATATTTTGTTTTTTGCAATTTATTCAAGATAGAAAGTAGTAAGAATATTGGAATGTAATCATTATCTACCATTATAAAAATTTCCAAAAAAAAATATGTCCAATAATACCACCTACAGGTAAATAGCGCAATACATTCTTGTGAATTTCTTCTATCCTTACCTGTATATGTTATTATCATATGATCTATGATGTTATGGCATCCTATCTTCATGTTATATGAAAAGTCTCATATCCAAAGGATTTATCTTCATATTAAATGTAAAAATTTTTAGTTATCAAGAACTAAAAAAAATAAGAGTGTTAGAGATGTAGATTAAGTTTGTAAGGTTTTGATTTATCTTACTAAAATCAGATATATAAGTTAATAATTTTTCTTTAGATTATTGTATTTTGGTGTCATTGGAATTTGAAAATTATGAAGATAAGAGTAAAAAGTTATGATTTCTTATCATATATGTTTTCTTTGATATCTAGCATGCTTTATGAGAGATGATATATCACGTAAATATTTCATTTAATTCTTCTTTTGTGCTATATACAACTTCAATTATCTTCATGTTGCATTTTACAATATAATACAAAATTTCCGAATAATCATAATATTCTAATCTAATCCTAGTGAAAGTTTTATTTGAAGGAATACAAAGATTATAATTGGATTACTTTCGATTCATATGTGAAAAAGCATATCATATTTATATCTATCATATCATAGTTTTGCTACATCTTTCATTCTTGCAACATCATTTTTGTCCACAATATTTTGAAATGATCATATCATGATATAGTGATAAAATAAATCTGAGCATTTTTTAATTTTCAAAAGATTGAACATATATCTATAACAGTAAAGAGTTCACTACTAGTCTTTAACCATGGAGATCCTTACCGTCATCACAATATTAAGTTTTAAACAACAATTGTTAAACACAATATCAAAAATTGTTAAACACATTAAAGCTTATATTTATCACATTTGAAATTTCAATATATTACATTATTAAAAAATTTTGTCTTGTAACACTTTAATATTAAAGGTGTTAAAATATAGGAATCTTTGTAAGTTATTAAAATTAGTTATGCGCTTCTGAAGGAAATTTTTTTTATTAGTATACAGCTCGAACAATCAGAAATTTTGAATTGTATATTCAGGCTTTTCTCATCTAATTTATATGCAATACAATCCGATGCATTGGATGAAAATGATTTGCATTCAGATTACCTTCACTCAATATATATTCGGAAGAGAACTAATATATTTATTTCTTTTATTTCTTTCCATACTTACTCATCTATGTTAACTAATGTATATAAATTTATTTTATTTCTTTCCGTACATACTCATCTATGTTACACAATAAATGCATTTATATTTAATTAAACGTACCAATTTTTTAGACATGTTATAGATTTCTTTTATTACACCATCTAACTAGCGATATATTGTGACAGGAGCTTATAATTACAAAGATTGGTATGTGGGTCCCAACCTTTGTAATATGAAGTCATTTTACTAAATCGATATTCTTCACATCTTTGCTATTTTCTAATTATGTGAACTTTACTCATACGATGCATATAATTGTACATCTGAAAGTTGTTTTATCCTTGTATGAATAACATCTTAGATCCAACAAATGTCACATGAATTTTTAAATATTTTAAATCCTTCTATAAGATTAGTTGGACCAAGGATAAAAAGTCAGTAAACTTGGAAAACAAGGCTTTGATATTCACTAGTACAGTAATGGATTTCAAATTTTTGATTTCTAAATCTCGTCAAAGTTTAGTAGAGTATGCATTCATCAGCAATGAGATAGACAAGGCCCGCGTTACGTTCTTATTACATTTGCAGACTCATGCCCATTCATGTTGCCACGTTTGTACACCAAATGTGGAATGTCTCACATACAATGATCACTGATATGTTATACAATTCACGTAATGTAGTTATTGATTTGATATGTATCTTCTAACAGATGGTTGTTTTTCGTTATAGATTTGGGCCGTCACAATAAGTAGATCCTACAATCTAATCTCCTCATTTGGTAGATTCTTGTATAACTTGTTGCGTGACGGTAAAATGACATCAACGTGAAAACTAAGACTCCAGACGATTCCACTGTTCTTTCCACATTCAACTTGTATAAGAAACTAGAAGAAATGACTATCTAAACGTAGTTGCGAGAGAGCATGGAAACCTACAACCGGGAGACAATAGGTGATGCGTGGTATTCTCCAAATCTGGTGTTTCAAATCTCATCATTCCTTTTGCTTGTCATACCTATATTTTCTCTCAATTACCAATTCTCCTTTCTCGCCTCATTTTCTCTACTTTACTTTTCATCTCGGCTCTTGTATTTTAGGCCTCAATTCTGATTAGGCTGCATAACCTACTGCATAAAACACACATGTACTTAGTACCAGAGATAACTGGCATAGCTCTTTTAACTCCCGCAACTTCTGTTTTGACCTCTCAAAATTACATCATTCCGGAAAGATAACTTCCCAGGCATCTAAACAGAATGATTTGTCGACCTGAGACAGATAATAATAGGTGCACTACGTGTTTCACAATCCGGGGCTCATGGCGGCAGTAGACTGCGCGATGAGCAACAAGGCAGCATTCACCTTTCCAAAGAATAAGCGCTTAAAAGAAAGGAGCCTGACGTAACTTAACCTATGAGGAGTCTTTGAAAATTCTCGCATGCTTCTTCTATTGTAGATAACTCTGCTGTGTATTTGTTAACTTTGGTAAGATTATCCTCCTGAACATTTGCCGGCACTTTATCTGCATATCCTGGAGCATTCATCCTCTTGGTAATGGCTTCTCGAAACCTGCAGTTAAAAGATGAAACGAACCAAATCGGTAAAAACGCCATGCTGCAAGTATAACAGGGCGACATACTTGCGAAGACAATGTAGGTGACTAGTTGAGAAATCGAAGGATAATAAAAGAGAAAAAACACTATTTTAAACGTAATGACGAAGTAAAATCCGTGTGTATGAGGATGTACCTCTCTACTTCATCCTTCTTCTTTTGCAGCTTCGACAACTCCACGCTCGCATCGACCAAACCCGTCAGAAGAAGGTAAGCTGACAACTGCTCATCAACTATGGCAACCGCACATCCAGCTGGTGCGCTTTCAGCTTCCGTAATTATCTGCAGCAGGAAATTTCAGGGACGGTTAAATGAAGTTACAAAATCGTTGACGAACTTGTGACGTCTTTTGAGCTCGTCATGCCTCAGAGCGTGATGATCGTCAATAAACCACTGTAGATTAGTTACCTTCACTGAAGACAAAGTGGCTAGAGTGGAGATTATATCTGAACCCTTCGTCATGACGTCAGCAACTTCAGGAGTCCGACAAAGCAAGTATAAAGCACACCTGTGCACGCAGCGCACATACTTCATAATCAGCTTGACCATAATTGAGATATACGAGGACTTATTCTCAGAATGTTCGCAGAGACACAACATTTTTATCAACCAGTGCCATAATGATATAAAAATAAAGAGAATTAAATGAGAATGCAATAAGCTCGGACCCAATCATTACCCACCTTTGCTTTGGCTGCAGACCATAGTTCATACGTAGAGACCTTATTGCTCTAACAGCAATTTCGATTGAAGTCATTTCCGACTCTACCGTGGAATTCCTCCATTCCTTTTAACATAAGTCAACATGAGATGTTAAAACATGGTCAGATGAACTTTGACAGCGAAATTCTACGTGCATAGCACCTGTACCACGGAAAAATTTTGATTTATAAACGTGAAAACTCATAAATGTAAGTAAACCTTCTCACCTCCACTACTGATGGATAGGGTGATATCATAATTGATGACTTGACATCGTCCTCCTGCCTTCGAGGAAGTCGCTGCCACAATTCTTCGGTCAAGAAAGGCATTATTGGATGCAGAAGCCGCAAACCTATGTCTAAACATACCCAAAGTGTATCCCTCGTAGCTTTTTTAGCTTGGGCTGCTGCGGGGTCTGTGTCATCCCCATTTAAAGCTGGTTTGCTAATTTCAATGAAAACGTCGCACAGCTGATATAGCCACCAAGAGTACATGGCTGTCGATGCTTCCGACAGATTCAAGGCTTCGAAAGAGTTCACAGTTTTCTCAACGGTGCTGTTCAGGACAGCAAGAATCCATTTACAACCAAATGGGAGACTGGCCATATCTAGCTGTTGAGAAGGAACAAAATCGCTCCCCAAATTCATCATGGCGAAGCGAATGACATTCCAAAGCTTGTTGCACCAATGCCTGTATCCTACTACTCTTTGAATATCCAAGTTGATGTTGACTGACTGCAGCACAAATACTAACATCAGTACTGCATGTAGAAAGTTGACACCTATAGAAGACTGACTAAGATAAAAGAACCATGACTGATAAGACTGATCTTTAACGGACTGACTTCGTAAGCCCACAGAGAATTTTGCGGACGATCGATCGAAGAAATAAATATATAAACGTCATCCTAGAATGCCACTATGACTAAGATAACCACCACAAAGCATAACAAATCTGACATTCATTTCAAGGTGAGTCGTTAATTCACGTTCATTCCACAACCAGCATCTCCTACTGACACAAACTTAAAGCATGCATGCGAGACAAGAATCAAGTCTCTTCTCTTTAGAGATTGATACAGGTTGCCTAGTACCTGGGCAGTGTATGCGACGAGAGCAAATCGGAGGGCATCGGCTCCACACTCGGCAATTCCATTTGGAAAATCTAGTGTTTGTCCCGCTTTCGCTTTTTCCACCTCCCGTGGATCCAAATTTCCTTCCTCGAGTCGCTTGTGAAGTTCCTTTAAGGTTATCCCATGGATGACTTCCATGGGATCAATAACGTTACCTAAAGACTTCGACATCTTCCGACCATGCGCATCTCGAACCATAGCATGCAGAAGCACCTGTCGCCAGAGAAAATGCCCACATGATAACCACATCAATACATAGCGAAAGTATTTATTATGCAACGTTGAAAACTTTCAACGTTGCATACTTTCGAACTCCGAGAATACTGAGGACTATGGTGATTTAGATAGAAGAAGCAACTTCATTCCTAATCAGACACCAATGAGTCAGACCAAGTTTGCATCCATTCTTGACCTTCAAATGTGAGAGGGGGTATTCACCTGAGGGTTGAAAAGTACAACTTCCTTTCAAGGATAGAAAGCACTACTAGCGTACGGGAATATAAGACTGCATACCTGCTTGAACGGTGGGTGGCCCGTAAGCTTCATGCCCAGCATCACCATTCGAGCGACCCAGAAAAACAAGATATCATGACCTGTCTCCAGCAACGATGTTGGATAAAATGTTTGTAGATCAGCAGTATTTTCTGGCCAACCCATCACAGAGAAGGGGAAGAGTCCTGAAGAAAACCAGGTGTCAAGGACATCTGGGTCTTGCTCCAATTTGTACTTTTTCCCTGGATACTTCTCAGAAGCAAGCTTCTCAGCTTCTTTCGCATCTCGTCCGACGACCCAATGGTCATTGTAGACTCCAAATTCAGTGAGCTCGTCCTCCTCGAGAGTGACATACCATGCAGGCACTCGATGACCCCACCAAAGCTGCCTTGAGATACACCAATCTCTAATGTTCTCCAACCACCTGTGAGTAGCAAAAGAAACGTCAGATATCTAAGTGTACTCCAAATACATGCGAATAAGATGCAAGAGTAGTTAGCGCGATTACGACTACATGATAAGGCTACAAAGAAAAGGAGGAACTTTCAAAACAGTGAAGAGAATAGAACATGGACATAGAATGGTGTGAGCTTTACCTGAACCATACGTCCTCAAACTGTTTCGGTACGATTTCGAGTCGTCCATCACGAACAACATCGCAGGCCTCCTTTGCCATACCATCGCAGCTCACATACCACTGAGGTTTAATCATAGGTTCAATCACGTCATTACTCCTTGAGCAGATTCCAAGACGCATGGGATTATCGGCTGCTCCTCTGTACAGTCCCTGTAAACAGAGTCATGCCGGTAGACACGAAATTAGAAAGAAAGTTCAAAGGACTGGAAGAAGATAAAGCCTTGCAACTACATAACGAAGTTCAAAATACAGTTCGGCATTCATTGAGCTGCCTTTCATAAATACTCGTCACGGCACTTGTACCAAGGATGTAACTTAGTCCAGTCAACTACAACATGTTCTTACTCACCATCTCGTTCAGAGCTTTCAGAACGGCTACACGAGCTTCAAAACGTTTGAGACCTTCGTAGTCCTTTCCTCCATTGCTGTTAATATTGCCCTCGTCTGTTAGGATATTGATAAATTCCAAATTGTGGCGCTTTCCAGTTTCAAAATCATTTGGATCGTGGGCAGGAGTTATCTGCAAGAGTTATCAAAGTCCAAGTGTCAGTACTACATCTACATAAATCATCTGGCCTATCGAAGGAAAACACAACAAAGAGTACTAACCTTGACAGCACCGGTCCCGAAGGACATATCCACTAGTTCCGCATCGCATACGATTGGCAATTTCCTCTTGTTGAAAGGGTGGACCACAAACTTCCCATGTAAATGTTTGTATCTTGGATCTTCTGGGTGTATTGCGACTGCTGTATCTCCAAGCATAGTCTCAATTCGAGTAGTGGCGACAACAATCTCCCCCTCTCCTCCCTCCAAGGGATAAGCGAAAGAAGTAATTACACCGAATTCCACAAGGTCGTCATGACCCGGTACTCGTAGCATTGTGCGACCTGGCAAGTCTATGTAATCGACCTGAATAGGCAAGAGGGACTACCTTGTCATCGTGATATTCATTTTGTATGAAATAAAAAGATCAAGCAGGAAAGAAGAGGCGAAACGGCTCCTAACACTCACTGATGATCCAGGATCTAATCGAAGAATACTAAAAGGATTATGCGAAAGAAGGTACAGATGCCTCCAGGACATCATGTTCCGCACGGAATAATGGTAATAAAGAAGCAAATGCACATAAAAATAGAAGACAGTACAGGCACCATCAGATAAGTATACGCAGACCCACCTCAATATCTGAGACAGCCGTTCTCAAGATGCAGTCCCAGTTCACGAGACGGTTGTCCCTGGATAAATTCCATTTAGTCAGCAAATAATACCTCACTAACTGCAGGTAGAAGAAATGAACAAAGCCAGGTTTAAATTTCCCAACATAAACATGAGAACGACTAATGAAAGAGGTTCTTAGCAGGCGCGTAGTCAAGTAACCTGTAGATCAGCTTCTCTTTGAACAATCGAACAAATGCCTCAGTCACAGCAGCTGACCGCTTCTCATCCATGGTAAAACACTGCACAGGTGAAGAAGCTATGGTGTTGATAACGAGGCTCAATTATTACACAGTTCAAAAAAAACGAAAAGCAGAATTACCACAATTCAACCGCCGATAGCAAACCTGGAAGCTCGTAACTGAAAGCCAAGAATACTCTACGCCGAAAACTGACGGCAAAAGGGGCACAGAACTTCACCTCTCGGGACCAATCAAGGGATGCACCGATTCCACGCTGCTGCTTGCCAATTTTCCCTCCATACGATTCTTTCCACTTCCACACCTGCACTTGTTGGGTTAGGTCTTTAAGATCGAATAAACGAAGCGTCGTGCAAGGGAGCATCACGGAGAACCTTTATAACGAGAAACCGAAAGACTGATGAGAGGAGAACTACAAAAACTCAGTTGACAACTCAACTTTGCAGTGAGTCCCTTTTACAAAAAATGGGGGAAGCCAAGTTCTGCACTTACTTCTGCAACAAATTTCTCTCGACCTAGATCGTGCCTATTCAGTCCAAGGTCCTTCTTTATCTTCTTCTCCACAACGACCTGCATGAAGTACACGTGATGTGTGTTCAAAACAGAATGCAATAATCGCTCCTTGAGTTTTAAGGAGAAACAAAAGTTGCAACGCATCCTATACAAAAGTCTCGGCTATTATACATAAGTGAACGTCTAATAGTACGTAAAAGAAGTCATATCATACGGACCAATAAACAGCTGGTTCTTCTTACCTGAGTAGCGATACCAGCATGATCACACCCGGGAACCCACAGAGTATTGTAACCACTCATTCTTCGCCATCTGACTACAGTGTCCTGGTCACCAATAAACCGTGTCAGCTTTTCAGATTTTAAAACACATCTCTTCCACGAACTTCCAATTTAGAAACGAAGAAACTAGGCCCAGAATAGGTCGCAGCTCCTGCAACAGTGGCATCAGCATTGCGACTGGAAGTATTTTGCATTGAGGATACTGACAGGTGAGAGTGTTTACATGGGAATTGAGAAAGTGACAAGTGATCTCTGTCAGGAAGGCATAAGAACATTGCTCCAGGTTTCCTAAAGGCTGACTAAGCAACCACAAAAACACAAAAGCATTGGCGGTGAACATTCCTATGGCGAGAAAGATGGTCCAAGCAACACGAGCAACCTTACTATGATAGACAGAAGGATAACGATTTCATATCACGGACCTCAATGGCGGCAGTCAGACCATGTCCAATATGAAGGGCTCCAGTGACATTAGGTGGAGGCACAACCTGCAAATGTTCCAGATCAAAACTTCAATTCCACTCAAGTGTCCTACTGACTGTCGGCACCAATCAAAGTACTGAGCTCAAAGTACTCAATTCAAACGAGTTCTAAATACGACTTACGATAACGAATGGAGGTTTCTTCTTGTCTGTAGCATCAGCGACGAAGTAGCCAGACTTCTCCCACCATTCATACCACCTAAAGCATTGTGAAAATTTACAAAGATTAAATACGTGGTGAGTTCCTTGAGAATCTCAAAGATGTCAATGTTGAAGTCAAAGCCAATAAAGTGTTGACAGTTTTCATATGACGGGTAACTTACGAAGCCTCCACAGCTGCTGGACTGTAGGACTTGGCCATCTCCGATGCCAGACGCTTCTTCTCGCCAGCTGGGGTAGGAGGATCGGTTTGTTCTTCATCATTCTCAGCTGGAACTGCAGCTGCTTTCTTAGCTTTCTCCTCTGCCTTCTTGGATGGCTGCCCTGCTTTAGCGGCCTGAAAGAAAAAACATTATTTAACTGCCGGAATTCCCAGATCTTCCGTGCAATACGACCAGGGAACCCAAGCAAGATCGTGAGAGGAGAATTCGCCTCTAACCTGCGCAGCTTTGGCAGCTTCGGCTTTTTGAGCTGCCTTCAGCTTTTTCAGCTCCTTCTCCTTCGCCTACGATCACAAGCACGGAAAAAATTAAGTCTTCGACTCCAATTCGAAATGTGCTCGATTCCAGCCAGTAAAGAAACGGAGACATAAAATTTTAACAACTCCAATTGGCTACAGCATTCGGCATCCACGACATGAGGTAGATCCCACCAAAAACAGCTCCAAACCCCTAGTCTCCAAATCCAGCAATGGCATCCACATTCCCACAATCTCACAAAGCCTGCTTACCTTCTCTTCCCTCTTCTTCTTCTTCTCCGGATCTTCTTCCACGCCTCCCGGAGCAGAAGCAGCTTCCGCTTTCTCCACAGCTCCAGGAGCCATGTCTCGCGACGTCCAAAAACCCTAAACCCCGCGTTCGGCCCGAATTTCCGAGCTGTCCCAAAAGCCAACAAATCGGCCGATCAGACGCGCAGATGTCTGAATTCTCCTCGCTGGCGCCGTTCCGCTCGACACGAGAAAAGATCGATCCCACGAGCGAGTCCAGCAGCTTGAACCCTCCTCCTCGAGCCTAGGACCAGCTCCAGCTCGTCCGTCCGTCCTTCCTAGGGAACGGACGTCCATCCGCACGCTCCGTCCGTCCTTCCGCGCTTCCAGCGCGCGCGCCATTATCCCAGTCTTGCAACGAGCGTTCTTGTGAGCAGAAGCGGGGGTGGATGGCTACAGGGTACATTCGCCGACTGCGACCAAAGAACGAATCGACCCGATCTGCGAACTGCGTAAAGGAGGCGACGGTCATTCCAGATTCCGGGATCGTCCGCCACGTTTCCTGCTGGTCGCGAATCGCGTGCCACCAGAGAAACCCAATCTGCGAGCCTGCGTCGACCGCGGTCGCTTTTGCAGGTGCAGCCAAAACACCAGACTGCGTCACGCCCCACGAACTGCGCGCACCTCCAACAAGATTCCAACAGCGATACAGTAAAGTCAGGCCAGATTCCAAGTGCTTTATTTCGTCCGCCCCGGTCCACGTCGTTCCCTCGTCACTTTCCGTCAGGCCCCTCGCCCTGGCATGGACGGATCCTCCTGGACCTCTATCCACATCCTCGACTTCCAAATTTACTCTGCTGTAATTCCTGCAGTCCGCCGGCCAGTGAGAAGCCAGCGGTGCTGGGAAAAATATTTGCATATTCTGCTCCCCGCTGATTCTTCCGCCCTTCGATTTTCCGCAGGCACGGGTGAAATCCCGTTAAATGGAGGCGAAGTGGCAACGACCGCAGGCGATGGAACCTCGGCCGAATATACCTGCTCCGGGCTCGACGCCCAGCCAGCCGCTATGGCAGACCAGTGAGACAAACGAGGAAAATAATTCTCCTCCGATCCATGTTGACTTTTAATTCGGTGAGATGGGATGGGCGGAAATTCTTCCCAAAATGGTCTGAAACGAGTCTCGACCCATAAATGTTGGGTGGGTGGGAAATGTTCGGGTGGCATTCATTGATCGCTCGGTCCGGATTAATGTCTTCGCGTAGCCCTAGGACCAGCGAAGACGGTAGTACTCATCTAGGATGACGTGAAACATATTTTTCTTCGATCGGTCGGTCCGGATTGATGTCCTTGCGGGCGTGCTGGCACCAGCAAAAATGGAGGTACAGTCTTCTCGGATGACGTAAATTTAGAATTCTGCGGGAAATGTAATATAAAAAGGGTGCTGGCAGTTGTGATGTAAATCCCAACATGTAACAAAGTGCGATCCTCGTTCGGTCCCCACCCATTTGTCGAAATGGAAGCACAAAAGGCTCGATCTGTGCTGAACCAGATATAAAGAGACTTTGTCCGCAGCGTCGGAACTGTGGTGGAATCTTGTGCGCAGAGGAGGTCGCGCTCGGGCTACCACGTAGGAGGGCACCGCCGTGCGAAAGAGCGACAAAGGTTAAAAGCGAAGGTTATCGGCAGACCGCAGGAGAAGAACGCCACAGGGGGGGCCTTCTGGCCACGGGATGCACGTTACGTCAGACGGACATGGGGGCGAGTTCGCATTGCTTGCCGGAAGGGCAACACGTGTCGGCGCCGAAACACGGCAGCGCGGACGGAAAGATGCGCGGCCGAGCACGGCGCGCGGATATGTTCTTGTATGAGCTGATGAGCTGCGGTGGCCCCCCCTCCCGTGGGCAACACCAGCAATTCGGGCTCCATGTCCTCGGCCGGGCTGTTCTGCCAAGGCGCTGCCACAATCGAATTTCCGGCCGCGCCTTGTGAAGGACACGGAAAGAGAGACGAGAGGAGAGGTAGAGGGAGAGAGGGAAGGGAGAGACAGAGAGAGAGAGAAAGAGAGAGAGAGAGAGAGGGAGGGAGAGTTTTTTGCAGTGAGATTTGTGGATTTTGTTGGAGGGCACGGAACCGTGGGCGGATTGAGAAGGAGGTGGTGGTGTGGTTGAGAGAGAGAGAGAGAGAGTTGTGTGTGGGGCTCTGGTGCCGGTTTTCTGTTGTGTTCTGTTGAAGAAGCCGTAGCGAATTGAGTAATCTGCACGCGAATTAGCGAGTGTTTTGCCGGGTGAGTGGTGCCGGGTTCTTTCTTTCTCGGTCGTATTGCATGTGGTTGGAACACTGATTGGGTTGCTGGTTGTGCGTGTTGTTGTGATTGGCGACGAGGATTGGTTTGGTGGTGTTGGTTGATTTCGGTCTTGTGGAGGAATGCGGATTCTGGTGACGAGGGTAGTGCGGGGAAGTGAGGTGAGTTGAGGGGAGGGGAGGGGAGTGAGTTTGAGGGGCGGTGATTGGGACTGCATTTGCGCCGATCTTTCGTGGAGGCAGGTTTTTCACTCACGGCTGCGATTCTAGTGCTTCGGGGCTCGACTCGCGTGTGGTCGATTGCGAGGTCGGGTGTTGAATTTCGATTGGGATGAGAGTTGCGGTCGGTGTTTGTGGCAGGGGCAGCTTGTCTCGTGCTTCTCTTCTCGGTCCGTCGCCTGTCCTCGTCTTTTGTGATCACCGTACGCGCATGTCACTGACACCCACCGTTGGTCCCCCGCACATCGGTGTGAGTCTCGATTATCGCGTCTTTGCTCTGGCCGTGCCCACGCGGACTGCTCTTTTCACGAGTCTTCGCCAAGGCTTGAAGTTCTCTTCATGGTCGAAATGTCCCTCTCCTTGCCAACTCCATCTTTCCTCTTTCGTCATGTCGAAGGAGCGGGCTCTCAAGTTATAGGAATTTGTTACTCTCCTTATCTTCCTCTTCATATTAGTTCGCGAAGCTTTTGGGTTAGAAGAGACCATTGCGACATCTTGCAATCGAACTATTTCAGTGGTTTGGTTTCCAACCGTAACGGGGAGTAGGATCAGCTAATGGGTCGGAAAGAGTTGTACAACAAGGCGTCCGAAGGGCAGCTGGATAGTAGAAATGAAGCTAAGATCGTACTTGCTTGCGCACATTTATGGATATGCTGATAGATAAATTTGATTAGAGGTTTGCTTCACGGAAAGGGTTAATTGTGTTTTGCACCTGCAAGGACGTGGACTAGTTCCTCGTCACTTTTCCTAGCGTGGCCCCGGTGCACTCTAGGTTTGACTTGGTAGTAGTGAACCTGGTGAGATGTTGAAGCCCCGTAGATGTTTATGGAGCACAATATTTCCTGGTTGCTGAGATCCTTACACCGAAATTGGAGTAATTCTTGGAAATATCCATAGAGCATTGTCCTTAAGCTGGTACTGATTTCGGTTAGATGCCTCTGGCTTGACGGTTCGCAAAATCGCTCATGTCAACTGCCTGCCTAAGTGTGACCTGACGCTCAATTTTAGGTGAATGGCGGTTTCTATAATTACGTAAAAAGCAAGGATCGTCGATTCCTTCCTATTTGCTTCTGGAGAGAAAGGGTCAATTATATGGAGTAAAATTTCTATCTACACCTTCAGTGTTCGGTTCTGTCATAACCTGTTGGACACTCGGTCTTGAAATTCGACCCTGTGTGCTCCCTCTGAGGCGAGGTGCAATTTGGACGTGAATCTAAGTGTGTATCTATGTGCATCTTCTTTCTGTCAAATGGAGGATTAGATTATGCTAGTGAGTGCCCTTTGTTGTCCTCAGGACAGGATAAAAGCATTCACATTTGTGGTGCTACTTCCTAACTGCCTGCATGTGGATAATTTCTGCTGTAGAGCCCTTGTGTTTCCTTTCAAGACTAACGCTGAAACTGTCGGGGATTTATTGTGTTTCCAGTTTAGTAGTCACCGTTCGGGATAGCTATGGAGACACAAATAATGCCTAGTCCAAGAGGAATATGGGATCTTCTAGATGACGACACGATAATCTATATTTTGAAGTACCTTGTTGCACCGTCCGACGTGGCCAATGCCTCTGTCGTCTCCCGCAGCTGGCGTCAACACGGTACGATTCTGCTACCGTCAGTATTTTGTATGTGGTAGTGCTCCTTGTACGAAATCTTGAATTCTCTTCCTTGTTTCAGTGTTGAGGGTTATTTCTCGTTGCCGTTGGTGACGATTGTCAAGCGATGGGTGGTTTGCAGTGCTTGAAGGGCAGCTCTGGAGAGGATTGTGTCATCGAGAATTTCCGGAGCTGGGATTGATTGACGATGTCATTGAGATTGACATCTTGAGACGCGTAGAAGGAGCTGGTTCTAGCAATACGTCGTACCAGAGTACGTTGGAAAAGAACCATCGCGTTTATCGCCAATTGTACTGGGAAATGACTCAGACTCCTCTTCTAGAAAGGAATTGCATAAGTGCCGCTATTGCCGCCTCCAGCACAGACAAGTTCCCTGAAGAAAGTATTCATGAGACGCTTCATCCCAATTCCAAGAGGCCTCGTGATATTCATGATTCTTCGTGGTCATATTGGTCCAGCACGGGACAGAAAGATCCACGAGTACCAGAATCTCTGACTTACAAGCTCCTCTCGTCACTTTGTCTTGTGCACGAAATCAAAATTCGTCCCTTTGAAGGTAATATGGCATGAAGCATTCATTCTTGGTGTGAAGTTTTCATCAGATGGAGGGAGAGTATCTGTTACCGCAAGTGATTGTGCAGCCGCATTGGTTCTATCAGTCGAATATAGACCTTTTTCTTTCACTTTCTTAATGTGGCGTTCAACCATTATGAGAGTACTAGTTTTCGTCAATAGATATTTACGTTGGTGTCTTCTAATGTGATGGATTGCAGCTGAGTTTCAGCACGGTAACCCCGTGTACTCCTCAAAGTACGTGCGATTTCGGCTAGGATATGAGAACCCGAGGCGGCCTTCCTGCTCCGACGACATGCTGAAGATGGATGTAGAGTGTGATAAGCCGTTAGAGTTTCCTTGGACTCCAGGGCCTCCACCGGAGTACATATGGACTTACGTGTCCCCTGAGTATCCGATGGATCAGGTTTGAATACGTAACCTTTCAGTTTTTAGTAAATGTATCGTACTTGTTCTCATGCCCGTCCCCATGTAGCTGTCAATTATATTGAAGAACTTGTCGTGAGCTACCGGACAGGAGATTGGTCCAAGTTCACTTCAATCAGCTTCTCTATATCCTCCGTTACCTTCTTACCCCTTGACCTTGGGGTAGGTTGCAGAACGCCTCGTAAACTTGAATACGTCATATCTGTGTGGCCTTCGTAACTTGTATAATTTTGTTACCGAACGCTCCATCTCCTTGTCACCCTCGGAATCATCTCGTTCCTGATTATTAGGATTACCATAATGCAGATGTTTACTTTGCTTCTGCACCTGTCAGAAAGGTGCATGGTCTATGGTCTTCAGGTCTTGTACTGATGAGTGCAGTTCGAACCGTTTCTGCTGGATTTTGCGCAGAGAGATTCTCTTCAGACGTTCAAGCTCCCTCGTCCAGTTCTGTGCATGGGTCAGATATTGCAGGTCGAACTGTTAGAACGAGTCCAAACGCAGCTGCAGGATCTACTGTACTACATCTGGTAAATTAATATGCGTCTGTGATTTGCTCTCTGTTCGGGCGCCACAGTTTTGTTCCATCACTAGAAATTTAATTTCTCCTCATGCTGTGCAGTGTTTGCCATGTCCGTGTAATTGGGAAGCCGATCAAGAACTTCGGTTTCAGTCCTCTCAGCGCCGGTGGCGGCGGGTGTGGTCTCATCTGTCAAAGAGGTCTCGACTACTTGGCGACACCTAAACCGGATATTCCGGAGCATGTGCCCAACGAGGATGATGCTGCAGGAGCTGCGCTCGGTGCCGGAAGGGACAACTTTGCGGAGAGGATTAGGCAGCTGAGACTGAACAGAGGTCTTTTTCATAACACTTACGTTCTGAATAGGATATTGGGAAACCTTGCTGTGGCAAGCCTTCTTTTGGCTACAGAAGATTACATAACGGATGCAGATGACGAAGATGAGATGTCAGAAGAGGACCTCGATGAGGATGATGACTTTCAAGATGATGATGAACCAGGATATCTGTTCTGATCAACACATACGTGAATTGTTATATATTAGTGGAGATTTATAGTGATATACGAGGCCCTTTGCTCTTCGTAAGCGAGACAGCTCAATATCTCCGGCAGCCTGTCGACACCTGTAGCTAGCTGTAACCCAAGTACCACTGTCCTTTCTTACAGGAGATTGATTGTTTTGCTCAGGCCTTTGGCACTTCACAAGAGAGGTCAGCTATAACTCTGCAGCTTCATGCCGACATATGTAGTTGCTTCCTCTGGGTGGGAGGGTCTAAGGTAACCAATTATGAATACTTGAAATTTATAGTGAAAGGTAAAACAGTTAATGTTGCCATTAAGTACCCCTTTCAGAGGATATGCTGTGCTAACATCGATTGTGAATGGTCTCAGTATAGGGTATAACTCTCCTTGTAGAGACTTAACGTTTTGTACGAACAACGCTCCCCAGGTATTGTAGGTTTTAGGCTAGGTGTGTGGTATTTGGGGGTGTAGAAACTTAGGGTCTCTTCCAGATTCCTGTTTCAGGGTTTGTTCGAAGACATGCTGCTGGGGAGTAAAGCCATTCAAATTCGTCGGCTTCATAATAATGACATGGCGAATGGAATATGTGAATTTGGCGATTGTGATGGCTTGAAGATGAACTTGTGATGGATGTGTTCGTCCAAATAGTTTATGATAATCTGCAGAGAAGTTAAGCAGCCGAATGATTCTGTCCTTGCTTGCAGTTGTATCTTAGAGGATTGTCGACTAGCATCTGGTGTCATGATTTCTTTCTTGAAGTATGCACGCTGCAGCTTGGCCCATTTCTGAGACAGTAAGATGCATCACCAATATTGCCATGACATTTTTGGAGTATGAGGTGTTACCATGTCAAGAAAAGGTTGATACTCAGTTCCTGCCAATATGGTTAATGTTACAGAGAGGAGATGGACACAATGGTGGAAACGTTTGAATGGGAGTCATGTGTAGCGGACACATGAGAAACTATGCGATTCACAACATACTGCAACTCACGAAGAAGTTTTCATTCTTAATATTACGAGAAATTATATGTGCTTCTTGTTAGCCGAAGAGGTGTAGATGCAAAGTTAGCAGCGGTCTGCTTGTCTTCACGTTATCACCCTTGAGGTAGATAGTTATCACTTCTGCAGAATTACCCGAGTGCAGGGACGTGGGGGGTCTTCTTTGGGCCTTCAACAGAGCTTATCTAGTGCAACACCCCAATATCATGCCGGGTTTAGCTTACAACCTTGATGTCAATCTGTGTGAGAATTTCTGTAATATTTTTGAACTTTCCACGCAAATTTGTGGTTGGGTATCTACCTGGGAAACACCACCACGTTTGTGTTGAACCTTAACAAACTGAAAAAAAAAGATTTGGTTTTTCGAAAGACGGTGTTCATCACCTTACAGTTTGTCAGTTGTTAACATGTGGATGTCCATTGGGACGACGTTCTGTACACGTGACCTGGATACTGAAGTACACACATCAAACCCCCATTTTTGCAATAAGAGAAACTCTGGTAGTCTATATTTAATAAGCGTAGCGCGAGGAATAAGAAAAGAAATATGATGGCAGAGGGGTTAGGTTGTGGACTGGGTTGTCACGGTTACGACGGTCCCACGAGTTCTCGTTGCCCGAACACGTGACGCCTAGGATGGAGTCCACCTCCACTCACAAAAGCCCAGCTGACTTTCACTCATACTACTGCACCGAACAGGAAACTGCACTTGGTACATTGGTCGAAGACGTAAAGAGCGATTGAATTCTGATTAGAGTATTTGCTGTCAGCGGGAACGATCCTAGCAATGAGGTGGAAAGTCCACACGGATACTATTGGTCGTAACTAAGTTGAAATGTGGCATTCTTAATCACGTTAAGGCTCGTTCATTCACATCACTTTTTACTCCGATAGCTCACGGAGGCTTGCGTAGGACGACGTACGCACTTGCTAATTTGCATTAGATAACCCATTGGCTTGTCAACAAATACGTGTTACACGTAAATGTGTCATTACATGAGATACATAAGTTTTTTATGTATTCATTCGGAATCTAAACCATGTCCAGCCAGTTATAATTCTAGATTTGAAAGATGTGGACATATTTCGCATGGAAATTTCTACATTATAGTTTTGCTTTCATAATAAATATATTATTGGAGTAGATAACAAGAGAGAATTATGTTATTTTTCAAAATATAAGAAATGTAAAGAAATTGTTTTGATATTTGAAGTTATGAAGTATTAAAGACTGGCATGCAAGATATTTTTACAATAGTTATCTACAGAAGTATTTGTTTCATTAATTCCTCCGATCTACACAGGTATAGTTAAGGAGAAGTACCTCGCACCCAAAAAATAAGAAGTTTTGAAATTCGTAATGATCAAACTATTGCTGTGCTGAACAAAACCAAGTGAATGCACTGGGACCAATTTCACACGGTTAAAATGCAGAAGATTCTTCAGTCATTAATTTCAACGAACGGCAACAGTCATTGCCTACAACAAATTACTAATACAACCGGATGGACTTAAATGTCTCGATTCAATGTTTATCTCAGATTGTGTAGATATTAACTAAGCCCGCAATATAATGTACATTATTCACGGAGCCCTGCATTGTTGTTAGAAAAAGAATTCGTAAGTAAGTTTCCGGCTGATCAAGAAGAAAAAAATAGCCGAGACCTGCACAAACATATTTAAAAAGTTAGAGACGGGTAATGATTAAACAAGAGAAGAGCACAGGAGCGCCGAGTGCACTGAAGTTGACTCAGACTCAGAAGGGATGTTCGAAGCAGGCGTCCAGGAGAGCACTACTACTAACAGGACATACATTCTTTTCTTTGCGTGTGATCTTCCGAGCTCCACCGATTCTCAGGTTTGCATGCATGGGATACAGTGAGGCAGTCAGCGGCCCTGCAGTAGCAGGACTACAGTACCCATGCAGCAGAACTTGGAGGCGGAGGGAGGCCTGCTGACACTAACGCTAATGGCGTCGGCATACGGTCCTTAAGCTCGGATTGAAAATGAGGATGATGCGCTGATGGCCATCCTGCAGGTGGCAAAATTAGATCGAAGGAATTTAGAGGAGAAGAGGACAAGGAGGGACACTCTCGTAGGGAAAGCTCGCAGCATCCTTCGAATCAAAACTGTTGGAGGACCATGGGAGGCTAGATTATCTCTATCGATCCCGTTTAATGTATGGCTCTTCTATGTTTAGATTGCTTCTCGAAGGAAATGCGAGCATCGTATCCACCTCTATTCTTGACAGCCTTCGACTTGCTAAAGAAAAGTGGAATGCGACTCACGAAGGGAAAGATTATCCCGAAGAATATTGATCACGAAATTGATTTCAATTTCGTGATTACTTCAGTCAGAAGGTAACGATGATCGCCCCGATGATTCCAGGACCCCGTCAAAATTGTATCCATTCATGTGTATATTTATCTGATGTGCTTTCGAGCACACCAAAAACTCCACTCAAACAAATGCAAATGCGGGATTTGGTTTTTCGCATGCGGCTGTGATGCTCATGCGGGAAGGGCGAACGAAAGGCATCGACTGCGTTCAGCCGACGGCTCCGAATAATGAGATTTTTAAGTTTGGTTTCTTGATTTTTAAGTTTGGCATTCGTTCGTCCGGGGCTCCCTTGAGATTCAAAAAGAAGTTGCAAAGGTTTTCAGTGATTTCGCAATCCTATGTCCGCATTGTTAACGATAATCATTTTGTTAGTATTTTAAGCAGGAGTAAATACGCACCTCGTACTCATGCAATTTGGGGGCAAGCCCCATCTTTCAACTTTGGCCTCATCCATGTCCTGCTGCTTGATGGGGTCTTCTCCTTTTTGCTGTATTACTTGGTCCCTTTGTGTCATGCAAGAATTTGTCGCTCCCACGAGCTTTCTACAAGAACGCTTTTGACCGGCAACGAAATACTGGTCACACCTGCGGAGGAGTTCTTCTATAAAAGATGAGTTTCATGATTATTCCGTGCTTGGCGGATTCATTCACTTACAAGCATCCGGTGAAACCTGCAACAAGGTTCCATGTTCGTCCCTTACTCCAAGGGATCGCTTACATGCAATAGAGGAGCATGTTCTTTCCTTACAATATGTTGTTAGTAGTGTTGCCACTGGGTGCCCCACCTCACCCCACCCAGCAAAGAAAATATGATCCTGGGCCTCGTACAATATGTAGCACACTCATACTAACATAATGACCAGCAGGCAGTGACACTCTCATGCTCCAAACAGATATGCTCGCACTTGGATTTGTGTTCCCAGGGTTCGAAAATCTACTGTTTGAATCTTGCACTGTACCTGTGTCTGGTGTATTCAGCCTTTTCGAACATGACAATATTCCTCTATCTTCTATATCATTGCGGGAATTGTTTTGAGTTTTAACCCCTGTTTCATCCTACATTGACTTTGGCCCGAGCTCGCCCCACGAACCGCAGAGCAGCAAGGGGTGAATTGCAAGAAAATCATATATTATGGCCTTGAGATTTCTGTCCTGTGTTTCGGTGTCTTATTTCGGAGGTCGATGCGGGTCAACAGGATGTGCTTCGGCATATGCCGTGGGCGCCGGGTGTGGATTGCGATCTGCAAGTTCCTCCTCAGCACCTCCTGCCGATAAAACAAAACAAACGAACGGCCCCATCTGATGAGAAACTTCTTCGAGCAAGAAAATCTCAAAGCATGGGAGGGAGGTCTTCCCACTAGTCGGCAACGCACTGTAGGTCCGAGAGTTCAGTTGTTCAGAAGTTCAGTGATTTGGAAGGGTTAGAGCATATTTCGAACCTGCGGAACACCAGGAGGCCAAACGAAACCTACTCGGGCGGCGGACAGAAAAGCAAAGCAAAGTTACCAGAGGCTCAGAGACACCTCAGGGCATAAATATCGACTATTTTGTGAAGGCTCTTTATTGTAATAAGAAAATTAAGAGATGGACTAGCAGACATCCTCCTTCTGAGATACCTCCTGAACAAGAGAGAGAGGTCGACCTGGTAGAAGTTGCAGAATAAGAGAATATCGAATCGACTGGTGCGGTTACACGTCTTCTCCTACTGTACATGTTTCTTTCCAGATGGGATATCTCTTGAAATTGCCTATATCGCCTGTCTTATCTGGATCGCAGAAGCAAGAAAATATTTTTAAAGAGTAAAACAACTGATGATTTAGAAAGTAACATTCTTCTTGGAAATACCTTCCATAACCTGGGAGAAACTTCTTCAATGTTCTCATATATCTGATTGCATTCCTTTCTAAGATCCTTGCCTCTGCCCTCGCGTGCAAACTTCACTCTTTTCTTCCTACAAGCCTTCCGATAAGGTCGGCTAGCCTGTTTTCCTCGCGTAGGCAAGAAAAGGCGGGAGGAAGAGCAATAGTGATTCTTGGGCGCAGTGATGAACTCCTGGATAGACACCATGAACTTCTCTCTTAATGAAATGATTTCTATGAAACGGATGTTAGCACTAGGGGAGCTGTCCGCAATTAATTATATTTATGTTGTGCAAAAATATAGAGAAAAATTACAAAAAAAGAAAGAAAGCTCGCAATGACTAGAAAGGGGTGTTGAACTTCAACTGTGGAATGAGGGCCTCTACGTCGAGGCTTTCGATAAAAGAAGAGAACTGCTCACATGATTGTGCGACTTTTTCTTTACGGGACAGAGGTACACCAATGTAGGCAACAAATTCAACTTTCTCTGAAAAGCAGAGAGGTCCTACATCACGCGAGTACATCTTGCTCGACGCAAGAAAGTTAGTGGCCCTGAAAGATAATGGCTGAAAAGGATGATACAATCCAACGATCTTTTCCAATACTTGTAGAAATGGTGCTCTTGGACACTTCCCACCTCCTCTCGGGGCTATGTCAAGTCACAAGCTAATTGTAGAAGGAGTGAGTGTGAATGACTCTTTCGAGTCCAAAATTGGCCTCGTGACCCTCCGGGCTCGGGCCATTGAAATCATCAACTGATTCAAGGACGCTAGCACGCTATGATGACCGTGGAAAAGCGACGGGAGACGCTCGGAACAAAAGACAAAATGTCCACGAATGGAGACTCGAGAAACAGACCAGCCGAGTCAGCAGCAGGCATAGAAACATTCAGCAGAAAATGCTGGCCCGGAGAGCGGATCCTTGTCAACGACTCAAAGTTGTGTGAGAAATGTAGAAGCCTATTCTGACACAGTGGGACTCAGGACGAGTGAGTCACTGCAGATTTCGGTCACTGTATGAGGAGAAAGACCGCCAGAAACATATCCATCCGTGCAAATGTTCTGGGAACCGAGACGTTTGCAAGAGATGGCAGGTTTTGGTAGGAGCTAAACAAGGCTCAAAAGATGAGCATCCGAGCTTCGACTTTTGGCTGCCGAGCTAAGCGGAAGAAGTTTCCGGAGCTCCGATCGGTCGCGAACCCATCGTACTTGCTCACCATCACTTGCGCATGAATCATGAATCGAACGTCAGATGTATAATATATGGAATGGGCTCGCATGAACCGTGTGGCCAGCAGGCGAGCAGCTGAACGAAGTGCCGCAAGGCTCCCCATCGTCTGGGACTGCGGATATTCCCAGCGATGTTCCGAACGCCTCGCTTTTCACACAGCGCTCGCTTACGCTGCTCGGCTTTGCTTTCCGTCGACTCGCGATGGCAGAAGAAGAGTGGCGAGGAGCGGGTGACAGACAAGTCTACGAACTCGAAAAGTATAAACTCACTGGCAGTACTCGGCACGCGGGTTTGGGGTTTTGGCGGAATGACAAGGCCAGGGACACTGCGAATTGCCGACCGTCCGTGGCATCTGGCGATGGAATGGAGGAGAGGCGAGGAGGGGGCGGGAATGGCTCGCCTGGCCGGGCCGGACATCTATCTCTCTGGCTGGCGTCCGTCGAGATCAATGAGGCCAGCTAGAGGAGGAGGTCTGGTGGCCATCTTGGAGGGCTCTACGCTGTAGCGGGCTTGAGGCTAGGGGAGGAATGATGATTGCCTGCCTGCCTGCCTGCCCGATGCGGCCCGAGTGCGCGGACGTACTTCGTCAAATCTCCACAGGGCCGGCTCGATCACATCGAACGAACCAAGGAGCGAAGGATCGAAGTAGCGGGGCCGACATCGTCACCGGCGGGAGATCTCCTGTCGTCAAAGCAGGGGACTCCGACTCGCTCCAACTATTTGCTCATGTGTCCTCTCTCGCTCGCCTCTCGCCCGCCTCGCCCAGTTTGACTCCTGCGTTTCGGTTGCGCGGTGTGCCTCACGAGCCCGAGCTGGCGGGAGGAAGTGTGTCGCCGCGATCCCAAAAGTCTTCCGTAGGTTCGTGCTTGGATGTCGGTCTCGTGACGGGAGTTGCAAAGCAAGTCGACGAGATTCGATGCCACTAGACGCCCGGGGTCCTGTTCGTCTACTCGAGCAGACCCTACCAGACGCGCTCTCGACCAGGACCGAGCGAGCGAGGGGACGCCGAGGTCCCGCTTTCTTTATCACAAGGCCCTCACAAGCGAAGACTCCGAGTTGTTTAATCATGAAGGTGCCATTAGTATATTGCACGGCGGCCCAGCGTATGCGCTGTGCTCGACGACGAGGATGGGTGGGTACCGTGGGTTGGTTTCACAGCCCCTTGCCTCTGCATACGGACTCCCTCGGCGTGCTCGCTGCAACTCCCATCCACTGCCCCGTCCCCGTGAGAAACTCAAGGTCGAGCCGAGGATTGACTGGTTCAATCCCCTGTTCACACACCATTGCAGGACATCCCTGTGCCTCCGTCCTGCATGCCCCTCCATCTACGCCAGGTCAATCCATGGACTGCAGCGGCCATTGACGCCTTTACTCTTCCTCTCTCTTTCTTTCCCTGCTTGTATTATTTCCCACTCCAGCGAGATTGTAGCTCCCGATCGTACTTCATGATTCGTCGTTCAGCCAACATCACGAACCTCAACACATGTCGAACCGAACAACTTGCATCACCCTTAGTAACGTACACTGTTCCGGGTCCATGACCTCTTCCTCGGCCCCGACGGTATCATCGCGGGCTCGAGTCATTCTACGTGCACTCCACTTAAAATAGAGCACAATAAAAGGGACACGAACATTTTCTGGTTTTTTGTCGAATGGAATATCACTGCACGTGTGGACCATAACCCATAACTCCGTTGGCCAAGACCCATACAGACTTCTTGGCATAAATTTCTCAAAAGAATTTGTATTAGAGCTAGAGTGATCCCCACTTCTGGTGCCTGCTGTCCAGACGTTTGGTTTGATCTGCTTCTCCTTCATGCACTGCACCAGAAAATACAGCCCTAAAAGCTCCTAGTTTCCAGGAAAGCCAAAACACCAGAACCATAAAGCTGGCCGTATTTCAACTGAAAATCGGAGCGATGTCGCCAAAATCCACGAAAGAATTAACCACGAATTTAATTACGAAAGTCGTGCCATGCTTTGTACCTGCCTATCTTGGAACGCAGTAATCCGACCATTAGTAGTTCAACTAAGAATCAAAGTGTGAGAAAAGATCCACGAGAGAAACATACGTTTCCGATTGACCCCAACCGAGATCTACCGCAGAACGAAGCCACCGAGAGCGACCGAGCAGAGCACTCACTCCAAAGGGAGGACCGGAAACACGAGCACGGAGTCAAATTCTGGAGAACTTGGGGCGAAAAATTATACGATACGAAAGTCCAAGGCCGGACGCGGTCGTCGAGCGGAAACCAAGTGGAGTGGAGGGGAATCGGAAATCGGAACTCGGAACGGGAGGAAAGGAGAACGCATCAAAAGCAGGTGGAAGTCGGTCCCATGAATGGATCTACAGTCGAGGTCCATCGCTAGCCATCCAGCGAGCCAACCACCATCACAGAAAGAGGTGAGAGAGCGAGCGCGCGAGCGAGAAAAGCCATGGCCAGCTGCTCCGCTGCGTGGCCGTGGCCAGCCGTCCGAATCGAAAGGAGCAGTCGATATCCATCCATACCCATCCACAAGGTGCACGTCTCTCTCCCTCCCTCTCTCTCTCTCTCTCTCCCTGTCCCTGTCCCTGTCCCTGTCCCGGGCCCGGTCCCTGTCCCGGTCCCGCAGATTCGAATCCTTCCCGTCCCGTCCCACAAATAGGCGCCTGCGCGCTTTGTGCTCCTTCGTCCCTTCCTTCCTAAGTTCCTTCCTTGCTTGCACCCTAACCCTACTCCGTGGTTAGGGCAGTCACTGCATGTCGTCTTGTGCAGGTCACGGAATCAAAGATCTAATCGATGACTAAGCAGGCGCCCGCTAATCTGGTAGGAGGAAGAGGAGTCACGTTAGCCTACGGACGGTGACCGCGCGCCATCACGTCCGTCTGCGCCTGGCCAGCTACTCCATCATGCTGGAAGTCGGGCAGTAATCTACGGTTTGCACCTCAGTGCTGTCAGATACGTACGGCACGAGCTGGCCCGGGCTCATTGATCCACATTTACTGGCTGCTCTTGCACTGTACGCGTGAACCCAGAGCATTTGCTGGTAATTCGAGCTCGAGCCATGCCCATCTAAATCTCCATTACTGTAGTCGGGTCATTGCACCTGATCCCTTGGTTCATGATGATCGAGTCCTGCATGTTGGGAGTGAGTAAAGTACCTGACCATCACTAACTAATACTTACGAGTGCAATATACGTTATACATGAAAGGCCTCTTGTCGGTTTATTCACTTCTGGGTAAATGTGATACGTCGAGGTTTCTTTAAAATCGTTCATATTTTTTCTTGTTCTTGCAGTCTTCGGACAAGCTGCCTCAAAGCTCGGAACATCGACGAGAGGACGAGGGAAGTCTTATCTCATCCGAGATTCATCCTGAATTTCTTCATATTCATATACACCCTGAATTCCTTCATATATTTCGTGCGATGCAATAAACAAGAACTTCTTCTAGATTCGAGAGTAGATATAAAAGTCCAAGGATTCCAAGAAACAGTTGACGGATCTAGGTTTATATATTCGTAATCTTTCTTGATAATATATTTTCATTACACCGCAGTTTTACTCTGGAATCCCACACAAATCTAACCCGGATCATTGCAATCCCTAACATTATACCTTATATGTCTGCTTTGATCATTTTACAAGAAATTATATCTAGCAATTTCATGCCTTCAATATAAAATTCAATTTCAATTTAGTGAGAATAAAAACTCCTTCTTCTTTTTAAAACCATCGATTCCAGATCAAAAGAGAAATTCATTTAAGTATTCATAGAAAAGAAATACAAGTACAAAAATGCCAAGAACAAGGTGTTGAACAAATGTCTCATATTCGAAGACCAAAATGTCTCATATTCAGCTTTGACTCTCTTTAGGAATGGCTTTCATGCAACTTCAACCCGCACAATAATACTGCCTCCAATTTACAGAACAAATTAGAGTTCGATAAGTAACGCGAACAACTAAAGTCAGAGTTGAGAAAAGCGACGATTTTTTCATTCATAAAAATAGAATGTTCGAAATGAAACAATAAAGATATTGAAAAGTGATTATTGTATTTCAATCTCATGATCTTCTCATTTCGAACATTCTATTTTCAATTTTATTTTAATGAAGAGTTTTTATTGTAAATCATGATGAAACAAGAAGTAAATTATAGCAAATTTAGAAGAAAAATTAATTATAATCATATTGATTAATAATTTGGTAACAGTTGAGAATATAACAGTTAATAGATGATGTTGACATAAACAAATATCATTTTGGTTAGAATTGACAATTTTTAAAAAAATTAAACGTATGTGTTTTTTGAACCACCCAAGTTGTAGTGACTGTGATAGGGCTATTGTATAACGCCAACAAAGAGATATTAACCTGCGTAATCAAATGCTTATATCGCTTATCGAAATTCATCTCTTAGAGATCAGAAAAAAACGTCTTTAACAAAAATTATTAATATATTTTATTTTATTGCTCACAATATTTAAAAAAAATACAAAACCAAATAATCATTAACTTATTTAATTGAGCCCAAGAAAAAATCACCTCATCTGATTTTAATTTGACGATCAATCCATAATACATACCAAAACTTGGTCTGAAGTTTATGTACCAGGTCACTTTGATGAAATCAGAAATAGTTGTTTGTAAGAGAAGAAAATGTATATCTTTACATCTCAAGAAAGTTTTGAAAACTAAGTACACTCGATAAATGGATAATCTATAACTCTTAGGTAAAATGAAACTGCAATATCAGGATGCACGATTCATCCGTAATTTGCGAAAAAAATTAATTCTTCGATATGGACGCTTTTTGTCATGAAGAAAAGAAGAAGGAAGAAAGTTGATTCATGAATTCATCTCAAAGTCATACAAACTAATCAATGACATAAACATTAGCGAAGCCATCCCGAGGAGTAAGAAAGATCCAGATCTGAGGATATCGGAATGAATATATATAGTAAATATTTCGAAAGAAACATGTAAAACAAAAGAAGATATATCGAGGCGTTCTACAACCCATAACGCAGCAGATTTTCCAACTCGGCAATCTATGTTTGGATGGGAAGAGATAGGAAAGAAAGTAGCCCACTAACTCGCAGCACCGGTCAGTCGCATACGACTGCGGGTGGAGTTTCCAACAACTTCTAGGGGTCAACACTGTAACCAAAGCGACTGAGAATGGGGAAAATGCTCACATCGCTCACTGTTTAATTCATTTTCAAAGGTGACAAGAAGTCCATGATACGGATGGCAGGCGTCGACAGCGCGAGCCATGCGCTAATAATACGAGCGGAGCGAGGAATCGAAGCGCACCGGGAGCTCGAAGTCGGTGTTCGAACGTCAAGAACTTCAAGAACCCCACTGTCGAAGCGTGGCAAGCAGAAATTCACGGGGGCGAAATAAGGCGACGAAGCGGACGGACGGCGAGCGAACGACGAAAATCGAATCGGTGGGATGCGGAAACGACGAGGAGCGGATCCACGTGACGTGCTGAGGCCGGTCGCTCGCTCGTTCGTTCGCTCGTTCCAGATCGCAGGGCCGAAGACGATCAAACCGGCGGGACGGCCAGATGCGTGCGATGGGACGACACGGGACTCGGGAACATTTAACACTCGGGACCTGGCCTGACTCGGCCTGACGACGACGGAGTAATTAACGTTGGGGCCTCGAGAGCGATGCGCTAAGTCGACGGCGCAGATCGGTAGCTGGCTGCGCGAGCCTGACTCCTGGCTTAACGGGAGGGTAAGCGTCCACGGACCGTTCAGTTGGAACTGACCCCGACGGGAACTGGCCCGGCCGGGCCCAGCTTGCGACCCGGCCCGGACTGGCCTGCCCTGCCCTGCCACAAGGAGGGGGCGGTGTGATGCGTCCCGCCCCGTCCCGCCCCGGCCGCGACGGACCGCCCGAGCGCGGGCTGGTCACGCGGTTACTTTCCGGCGTGTGGATGTAGAGCCGCGTCCCCAACTCGGGTTAGGGCTGTGGGGTGCGGGCGAGCGAGAGGCGGGAGGAGAGGGCGCCGGACGGAGGTGGAGGGGAGGGGGCTATGGCGGCAGCGCACGGAAGGAAGGAAGGAAGGAAGGAGGGAAGGAGGGTGGACGAAGAAGAGGATGAGGGAGGCGGTGCGGCGATGGAAGCGGCGTGCGAGGGGATGGGCGTGTCGGGATCGAAGGGCCTGGCGAGGACGGCATCTTAAGCAGCAGCAGATACAGCAGCTGCTGCTAATCTGATGATCACGAAGAGCGCGAGGCCGAGAGAGCGAGAGAGAGCGGACGGACGGAGACGGAGGGAGCATGAGGCGATGCGATCGGCGAGGCGAGACGAGAGGACGAGCGAGATGGCGAGGGATGGCGATCGAGCGCGCGAGGCAACCGATTGATTCAGAGTGAGCGTCGACGAGAGTGAGTCCGAGGCTCCAACCGTGGTGCGCAGCGGTGGTCGCCAGCCAGCCATCCCGCCCCAGCCAGCCATCCTCCCCCCAGCCAGCCGGCCGGCCAGCCAGCCAGCCTTCTCAGTCGGTCCGTAATCCCTCGCTTCTACCCGCAGTGGAAGGGGGGGCTGGCCCTGGGACTTGGCCGAGTAAGAGACACGGCGAGAGGAACCTCGCGCTCGCGAGAGAAACACAGAGAGAGAGAGAAAGAGGCCCGAGCAAGAGAAAGACGAGGCCAGAGGACGAGAGTTCCGAGAGGAGAGAAAAGGTGACCAGTCCGTCGCGTCTGTCTGTGCGGTGCTTCTTTCCCGTCGTGTCTGTCTGTTGTCTGTCTGTCTGTCTGTGGGTGAGTTGAGTTCAGTGATAGTGAGTGAGAGAGAGTGAGTGAGAGTGAGTGGCGATGCTTCTGCTTCTGCTGCAGGAGCAGCTCCAGCAGCAGCAGCAGCGGCCGCAGGGAAGGTCCGGAAGCGGGAGGGAAAGGCGAGGGAAGGAAAGTAGAGCAAAATAGTCGTAGGAAGAGAGAGAGAGCAGGGGCCTTTGGGGGGAGGGGCAGGGGGCCGCTGCTGGTGCCATAGCAGCACAGCTATAGCAGAGAGAGAGAGAGTGAGCATCGTGGAACGAACGAAGGACCGACCGACCGACCGCCCCCGCCCGACCGACGAGAGAGCGCGCGCGGGAGAGGCAGAGGCGACGAGAGTTGCGAGAGGTGGGTGGGTGGGTGAGTGAGTGATAGAGAGAGAGAGAGAGAACGAGAGTAAGGAAGGTTGGAAGGAAGGAAGGAAAGGAAGGAAGGAAGAGAGAGAGAGAGAGGAAGGGGACGGTGATCAGACGGAGAAAGATGGAGAGATGAGGAAAAGGCGAGTAGGCGGGGAGGAGGAGGACGGGGAGGAAGAGGAAGAGGAGGGCGGAGGCGGAGAGGGAGAGGGCGAGGGCGAAGTGGGAGTCGAGGTGGCCGGAGCAGAAGGAGGAGGCGGTGCGGGCTTGGGCGTCGGGGCCTTGGACGAGGTGGACGGAGGAGGCGTAGCTCCCCGGGGGGTCGAGGACGATGGCATGATGGCGATGAGCCAAGAGGAAGAGATTGTAGGAGGCGGAGCGGTAGCTGCAGGCGTCGGGGTCGGGGTGGTGGTGGCATCGGCAGGAGGAGGAGGAGTTGCTCCCGGGCCTCCTTCTGCTGGCGCCGGAGGGAACAACATCAACAGCAACAACAGCAGCAAGCGCGCGAGGTCGGACGCTGCGGAATGGAGCGAGGCGGCCATCACCGCGCTTCTGGATGCCTTTGGGGCTCGCTACATCGCCTCGCACCGTGGGAACCTGCGCGGCAAGGATTGGGCCGATGTCACGCGCGCCGTCAATGCCCGGGGCGTCACCGGCAACAAAAGCGTCGAGCAATGTCGCAACAAGATCGATAACTTGAAAAAACGATTCAAGCTGGAGCGCGAAAAGGGCACCCCGTCTGCATGGCCCTGGTTCCGCACTCTGGACGCCATTGTCGGTCGCGCTCCCAAGCGGGCGGGCATTCCCGGGGGCATCGACGGGGGCCACCGCTCGGACCCCGACATCAAACTCTCGTTGCCGACCGACGTTCTCCTGCCTCCCCCCCAACCCCCTCCTCCCCCTCACCCCCCTCCAATGCTTGCCTTGCAAGCCGTGGCTCCGGTCCCAGACGACAGTGATCCCGACAACGTCGCAGAAACGCCATATTCGAGCCAGCGCGATAGTCACACGGACTTCCCCACCTTCAAGGGGACCGGGAAGGATGTCATGTCGGAGATGACCAATCCCAACCCGAAGGCGAACAGCAATGCGGTGCCCAATGGACCTGGGAAACTGAATCGCAAGAAACGGAAGAACGTTTGCCAAGCGGGGAAAGATGTAGCTGCGAGCATTGCCAGCTTCGCCGAAGTTTTCGCGAAGATTGAATTCGCGAAGATGGAATTGTTCAAGGACATGGAGCTCAGGCGGCTCGAGATGCAGTATAAGCTCGCCAAATTGGCTCACACCAGCAAGAAAGGACGAACAAACTCTGTATCTTCGAATTCCGAATGACCGAGGTGAGGGGAGCCGGCCTAGCTGTCATGAGAAGTAGGTTCCAGTTCCTGCGTGGGTCGAATTCAAGTTGGCAAGTCTCTGCAGTTTAAGTTACGGAGCGACAAGGTCCTCCCTCCCGTGTCTGACTTGTTTGAATTCGGTGAGCCGCTGTGGCACGGCCGATTGCCCGCGGTTGCAGCTTCATCTGGTCGCAGATTCTCTGCTCAAAGTCACCTGCGGTTCATCGGTTTTTGTGTTCCTGATCCCAGTTTCCTTTCCTCGTACTTCAGGACAGTCCATGAAGACTTGATGTCATGCGCAGGCCGAAGAAGATGTTTCTAGCCTCCTGTCTAAAATCTTTTGCAGAGAGCGCTCTGATTATCATCTGTCTTGGCCGATGAAAGTTGCGGAGTAAGTGCCGAAAAGTGAGGAAGGGCGGGTTAAAGCACGACAGCAAATAAGGCACCATACGCTCGATGCAATTGCACGGTCTCTACAACGCTGATAACCACTGCTGTTCTCATGGTGTGGGCCTAGAGTCGCAAGTCGTGTAGTTTCGGGAGCGGCGAATGTATTGTTGAAGTGAGGAGTCATTACCCCTTAAGTCCGGGTAGTTAGCTGTATGAGCCAGTAAGTAGCTCATGTCATGGAGGAAGCTCTGAGGTTTACGGCTCTGGACCATGCCCGGCATCGGGGGCTCTGCTGTTACCCCTTGCGCACCCCATGAGCCCAAGGTCCAACTCGTGAATCAGTTGAGGCTTCTAGCAGACCAGCAGGCAGAAAATGTTGAAGGATTTGCTTGCGAAGCTCTTGAGCTAGAGTGCACATCCTGTGCATGGATTGCATAAATCTGCACTCAGAATTACTGACGAATTTAGGAGAAGGTTGAAGTTGAGAAAACCCTAAAAAGATTCTAACGAGGCAGACGAATACGAACTCGTTGATGCCCACACTTGTTCTTGGAAAGTTGTATACTAGATTTTTGAATTGTTGTAACATTTTGGTACAAATACTTTGTTGTAACTTTATACTCACCGTCATCGTTCCACACGTTTTATCATGGCCGAAATGTCCTAATCTCAGCAGAAGGCGCAGTCTGACCGAGTCTTTTGATTGGACCTTTCTATGCTACTATCGTGTGCACTTTCTTTTCCCTTCTCTGGTCCGACTTCTTGTTCTTGCGAGTCACCTGAACACAGCTGTCTTGACTTGCAGCCGGAGTTCCTCAATCACCTACTAATGCCCCTCCATTCATTTTTCTCCAACGTTGGAAGAGATGCACGTCTCACATGCCGAACTTGGTAGACTAGTGATTATTTTCCACAACTACGTTCACTAGTTCTGTCACCCTCCCTGTGAATGAATTGTGACTCGAGTGAGTCGAAATGCACTCACTCGAGTCACTTCGCCCCCAGCTCCCGAAACCAGCTTATTACTGTATGTATACTCCCAAGGCCTTGGGACAGCTTCGAAGATGGACATTTTAGAAGCTACCTTCTTAGAAGCTATTTTAGAGCTGAGTTCTTTGACTGCCCCAGCCCCATGGACGTTATTAGTCCCACCCGTCTAATGACTGGAAACGAAGTTATGCAGGAAAAAGGTGTATGAGAGGATCGACTGTTTCCAGTCAAGAGTTCCCTTTATGAATCTGCCCTGAATCTTGTGTATGGAATCGCACAACATGGACTCTGTGTTGATATAGTCAAACCGCGTATTAGTCGTACCGAGTGAAAATGTCTGCAAGGCGGAAGCATCTCATGTTTCACTACTGTGAGCTATATCATGTTCACTACTGTGAGCTGAGCTGAGCACATTCTCTTTCTGGAGGCGCAGATGTACATGTATGAGTGGCCACCGGCCTGTCGTACTCGTCACGCATTCTGCTGGTGGCCATCGGCCTACAGCAAAATGCACCGAGCTCTTCTGAAAGAGGGCGGCAGATGGTGTGTATCACGTCTACTTCCATGCATTGAAATTCCACGTACGATCTAGGAAACGGTCATCGTCACGTCGTACTTCAGAGATATCCGCAGGAGCAAGTACATCACGAGTGTGAATTTACGCTCGTTCGCTGCGAGTCCAAGATTGTGCGATCATATAGTTCTGATGTTGTCTGCTGAGCCCTTGCCACCCAAAGTACACGCGTTTCCTGGTGGGCCGCTGATGAGCGCTAATCACGATACGGTCTGAAAGCAAAAGTTCGAGCGCAAATTTGAGGGCCCGTTTCTCCCTCTTTTCGGGTCATCGACGAACAGTTTCTCCGGAGCAATGTATCCTTGACATATCTGCTCGTGGCTGCGTATGATGATCAGCACCAAACACCGAGACGGAGCTCACTGCCTCATCTTTTGATGACAGCAGAAATAGTGGGCGGCACTATGTCTAGGAACTTCGAGTGCCAAATAATTCGAGGTGTGGCTGCTCCGGAGTATCCTTCATTGATTCGGGCCGTCTATCTTTCCCACCTGCCTCAAAAGTTGGAAAGCCCTCTAAAGCAGGGTGGAGGAATGGACCATCAGGCAGGTGTGCGATGTAAAGGCTCGAACCATGCACCCAGCCGAGTGCCACACTTAAATGCCATTATTAGAGATGTGGGACTCGGTGTTGATGATGGTGGCGGTGAGGCAGTTCCCATCCCACGATACGAATCTCACGGGAGGCCTCGGCTGCTTGGATGTCAGGAGGGGTGCATGAATGCAGAATTTCGGCAGGGAGTCATGGCGTCCGCACAGTCTGTCGTGAAGTCTGTGACGTCAAATGTCGAGATGCATACATGTACATGTTGTAACCACAAAGCCTGTGCTGGTCGGCTGACTTTATTTATACTATATTATACTAATATTGTTCACATTTTACTACCCGAGTGATAATTTAAATATCCAGAGTTCCATGTCGGCCAAGTAGGAAACGATTGATGTATCTTACGACTTCGTACCGAGTTATGCGTAGTACTCCATCACACAATTTAGTGCAATTCAGCATGAAACGTAATCGAAATATGCTCTTAAAGCGTCATATCACTATGCAGATACATAAAATACAATCAAAATGATTCCAAGTATTTATAGTGGCAGTTAAACTATGACATGTTAAATAAATTGTTAATTCAAATTATATTTTAATTCATGTTGAAGAAATATTAATTTCCATAATTTATATAATTATTCAAAGTGAAATTTTTTAACAAAAAAATAATGTCGAAAATAAACTTTATTAGAATTGATACATGATTAAAATATAATTAAAAAAATAACTTTTATATTGATTATATATATATATATATATGAACTTGTTACAAATCAAATGATAAAAATTTATATTAATTTCAAATTAAATTTTTTATGATTATCTTTAGTAAAATTTATTATTTAATTTACAACAAGGTATAAAATATTTTAGTTATCACAATGAACATTACTAATGTTATATTTCAATCAGATTTCAATGATAAACTTATTTAGCGAAATAAATTTTTTTGTCGTTTTTATCTTTGTTATATGCTCAAAATCTATTGTAGATTAAACTTATGCAAGATAATCCTCTAACTATTGATTCTACCACTAAGTGTAAAAACATACGCAATTCTAGATTTTCTCTTATCCAAAGTCAATATCAATATAATCATATAAGGATTTTACATTATCTAATAAACACTCAAACAAAAAATCACAATCTTTAGTACTTTTCAAATATTTAACAATACATTTCACAACTTACTAATGAAACTTTTCAAGATTCAACATGTAATTGCTCATATTGTCCACTGCTAGAACAATATCATACTTTGTACACACCATTAAATACATAAGGTTGCCAATGACTTGGTCATAAGTAACATAAGATAATTTTCATTATTTCAATGACATCAGTTGAACAATGAACGGTAGAAAGTTTGAAACATATTGCAAAAGAAGTCCATACTACTCTAATGTTTGCTGTAACATGAAGGTTTGAAGAAAAACTTAAAGATGAAACTTAAACCCTGAATATGAGATATCTTGTATATGTTTACCTTCCGGTTACATATACTTCAAACACATACACATAATGTATTCTTCCCACCATCCAATACTCTACTAGTGGTAATGGATTGATGACATGGCGGACATACCTAATGAACACACAGATTACTAACATGTCGCTCCCAAGTAACACATTCAATTATTATTTAACAAGCACACGGATTGATGACATGTCACTACTAACTAACACTAACTCCTAACTAACTAATTTGCACATTCAACTATCACATGAATTGTTGACGTAACACTGAATATTTCACTATCATCTACCCTAATCAATCTTGAATACTCTCTACTTTCATTTTAACAAACTAAAGATGATTACATCTGTCGTGTTGAAGCTTTCAAGTGTAAGTTGAATGTTTGGTTGTTCTATGATTCATGGATTTATTGTAGTTACCAAACTTTGAGTAATTAGCTAAAATTTTCATTGAATATAAAATCAATATGTTTAGTGCTCAATCTAGTCGTTTGTTTATGGAAAAGTACTTGACTTCTCTAAACTATAGCTTCTTCTTCTCTAAATACATAGAAATGACCATCCCTAATTTTCTCTTATATTACTCTAAATATAATCAATCAAAGAAGTTCAATTGATTCAATCTCTCATGTTGATTGTAAACTTCAAGAAATTCTTGCCTTTATTTGCGTCGAAGTGTTTCTTCGCCAAGATGAGCATATCATCGACGATATTGAATAATAAGATTTTTTTTATATTCTTTTTATGTATACATAAGAATCATACATACCACGTGAAAAATCTTGTGCTTCCATAAACTCAACAAATCATACATCATTGCATAGTAGTTTGCTTCAATTCATATAGTGATTTCAACCATCTATAAACCAACTTTTGTTGATCTTTCACCTCAAAGGCAATAGGTTGTATCATCTAGATTTACTAGTCTAAATATACATATAGAAAATTTTGTAACTACGTCAATCTAAATCAAAACAAGATTAAATATTGTAGCTAGTTCACATACCAGACCAATTGTAGCATATTTCATTACAAGTGAAAAAACTTCGTTATATTCAACACCTTTCTTTTGTGTGAAACCTTTAGTCATCAACCTGGCTTCAAAGATAATGTTTCCGTAATCTATTGGACTATTCTTCAGCTTGTACACTCACTTGTAATCAATCAAAGCCCAATACCTAGGAAGTTCAACTAGTTTCCAAGTCTTGTTATCAATCAATGATTACATCTCACGCTCCATAATAACAATTTACTCAAGCTTTAGCATTTAGGTTTCCAATATCAATTTTAACATCCTCTACAAATGTCATAATGTTCAAGAATGGATGAATCAATACTCAAATCATATCTCACAAGAGCTCTATTATTCTGATTCCATGATCTCATTGTAGAAAATTCTAGTTGATTTTTATCGTCGGGTGCATATACTTGAGGCTCATCAACAATAACATGTTACTCTAGTTTTTGTTCCTCATAAACTTGCTCCATATTGTATGTTTAAAATCCAAGAGAGACGCAACAACATAAAATAACATGGTTCATCATCGGAAAAGAGGGCTACGTCCACCCAGAACTCTCAGCACTTTACTCTAGGTCTTGTCAGAAAGACGTCATGTACAAGGTGAGCCCTAAGGTATTTATCTCCAGTCTAGACGACCGTTCTAGCTATAAATAGCTAAGATCTGAAGTTACTGCTTAACTAGAGTTAATCTAAACAATCTTCCCTTTAACTCACGTTAAGGAACTGTAACCTCTATAATATACATTATTATTCCGCAGAAAATTCTAGACAAAAACATAACATAAGGCTACTCTTTACACAACAGTTAACTAGAACTAAGCCGTAGCCATAACAAGATAGAGTAATAACATAAAGAGCTAACTAAAAACCAACTAGCATAGAGGGAATAGAAATCTTGTAACCTATATTATTACTCCACGAGAAGTTCAAGGCAACTCTTTACACGAGAGTTAACTAGAACTAAGCAATAGCCATCATAGGATATAGTAAATATGTAA